TCATTGTTTTCACAAGAAGCACGTTGAGAATTTGAGTTATTCAATTAGACTAAAATCATCATGAAGTTATGTTTTCATTTGGATTGTGTGAAACACTTAAGAGTTGTTTAGTATGAATTTTAGTATGTAAAACACTTAAAACTTGTTTAGTATGGAGTTTCTTGTGTAATTGCATAACTGTGTTCATGAATTATCTGAACCCCATGGACTGCCCAGTTGATTATGGTCCTATTTGAGTTTAGTCTTATTTGAACTTCCACCATCATGGTCCTATTTGGTCTGAGAAAGAACTTGATGTTCGTGTCTGAGAGATTACTTTCATATTCTGAGAGACCTCGATGATAAGGCCCAAATTACTTTTTTCTCAGATTATGATAAGGCCCATATTACTTTTTTCTTAGAATATGATAAGACCCAAATTTGTCTCGAGGGCGGGCTTTCAAACAGGAGGTGGTTAATAGATTCTTCTTCCCCTCCGCAGCGAGGACATCCTTTATCGGTACCAATAGTAGCTTACTTTCATATTCTGAGAACCCTGGCTCTTGTTTCACATATGGCTTTGATAATTATTTCCAAAAGTTTGAAGATATATGGTCTACTGTTCCTTAATTGTATTTGTCGGAGACTTGATTGTGGTCAACGATGCTCTTTGCCCAATTACTTCTTTGCGACAATCCTATCTACTGTCTTCAACTATCATCCAACCACCAATACCACCACGATCTGGATCATGTTCTTTCAAGACGTTGTTAACTTTCTTATGAGAGATCTCGATCCTCCGCTTTATGTTATAGAGCAATCCTCACCCGACTATAGGTCCATAGTCACCCAAACATGTGTCGTTACACTACTTCGAATAGATCTTCTCGAGCCAACGAGAATTTCGGCCTTGTTTCCTTCGTCAACGTCACCTAGTCTTTTGACAGTGACCATTTTGTCGTCCATCGATTCGTTCGTGGAAGATCTTTCGGCTAACCGTGATCTCACATGTGCCAAATCGCTTTCTAGCATTTGTCTCAAAGCCTTCATGGAATTTATGTCGATCTTTTTTAATTATCCGTTTGTGGTATTGGGTAATGTCTTTCGTTGTTATGTTTTAAACTTTGGGATCTTTGCTCCCTCCTTATCTTTGTACTTGGTTCTATCTTAATTGAATGAAGCCAAGTTTTTGCACCAAAAAAAAAAAATTCTATAAACTGCAAAATTGCCAACTATTTAATTTCACAGGTATTATAATTATGCAAATTGATGTTTAACTCAATACTATTTTTGTTAAGAAAATTCTATTCAAAAAAAAAAATCAAATGGATGCTAATCTTATTATATTTTTAAATAACTGCAAAATTGATGTTAAACTCATTACTATTTTTTAAAAATTGCTATTAAAAAAATTCAAATGGATGTTAGTCTTATAATTTTAAAATATAATATAATAAAATTATTGATTCTTGATTCCACCATATCTTATATAATAAAGTAAGGTTTCTCCTATACACCATATCTATTTTTATTAGTTTTAATTGTATCTTTATTTTCTACTATAAATGATGAAAATTAAAGTAAATAAATATAGGTTAAATGTGTCTCTCATACATATTTTTTTCTTCTCATACTATTTTATGTTAAAATTATTTCAAGATATAACATATTCTAATATTTATTTTATATTACTTTTGCGATATATGGTATATTATCTTATCTTGGACTTTAAATTCATATATTTTAATAAATATATGTTATAGTAATTGTTTTTAATAATAGTGAAAGAAAGAAATATAAGAGAAAATAACTTTAAAATTTGATACATTTAAAATCTTTTTCGCTTTCTTTTCATTAAAATAAAAAATTAACATCAAATAAATTTATAATATCTTAAAGAAAATATCTTATATATTAAGCTTTCACTATTTCACTAAAGCAACTATAAGAGAAAAATACTTAAAATAGTCACATTTTTAATCCTTTTTCGCTTTCTTTTCATTAAAATAAAAAATTAACATCAAATAAATTTATAATAAACTAAATGAAAAATAATATATATCTAAGCTTTCACTATTTCTCTACCACTTGACATTCTTATTCCTAAGAAATAAAACCAATAATTTCTCTTAATCATACATATAAAAGTAAGGTTTCACTCTCTTTTTATTGGGCCACTTGGAATTTTTTTAAATCAAAACAAAAATATAATTTTTATATCTAACTCCTACCCAATAATCATAAAAAAAAAAACTTCATTGCACTATATAACTCCACATTTAATCCAAGTGTAACTCCTACCCAATAATTATAGAAAAAAACTACATTGCAGACTGTTCTGATCTGGGGAAGATGGTGTCTTCTCCAACCGAATGGTCGACGTTTTCAGTGTACTTGGAGGAATTCTAGAGCGACAAGGAAGAATTCTCATCCTTCTCTTTATCTTTAATTTCTCGTAATGCTATTGTAAAAACGGATAATCTGGCACGAAAAATTTATACAGAACCGCTTCATATCACATATGTACACAACATTCCTTAGGAATGACTCTTTTGAGCTCTAATTAATTTCGGATGACAAAAAAAGAAACTTCATTGCACTATATAACTCCACATTTAGTCCAAGTGTAAAATCTACCCAATTATATATATATATATATATATATATAGCCTCATGATTATTAATTAAATAAAATATGATCACCATGGATGTTCAATAAATTAGGAAAAAATGTATAGATTTTTATATTAATATATCTACAAATTTTGTAATAATTTTGTTGTTGTATTTTTCTAAGTTTGTTTTATAGATTTTTTATTTTATTTTAAATTTGGTATGATAAATAACCATACCAAATAAATTTGATAAAAATGCAAGGTTTCACTTTGTTTTTATTTGATCATTTAACCTCAACATCATTGCCATAAGAAATGCAAGGTTCACTTTGTTGTTATTTTTATTCTTTTTAAAGATATAGGCCTTGAATGGTTACTAGTTTTTAAGTGGTTTTTGGTTTTTGTTTATGGAAAAATCTATTTTTTCACCATTCAAGATTTTAAAAAATTAGATTCCCTAAAATTTAGGAAAACTAGTTTTTGAGTGGTTTCTCTAAATTTCAAAGAGAAACTAAAAACCACAATTTTGAGGATTTTGGGAAAAATTTTAGTTTTCAACGTAATCATGTTTCTTTTTGATTTTTTGATTTTTTTAAATTAATTTTTATATTTATAACAAAAAACCAAAAACCAAAATTTTAAAGAGAAATTCCTAAAAATGGCCCTAAAACAAGTTTTATTGACAATAATAGCACACACTCCATAAACTTCCAAAAATAGCACTAGTTAACTTACTATTAGTGTTTTTGTTCTAAAAATTTTATCACTAGCTTTTTTTTTTCAATAATACCACAACTTTTATATAAAAGCTATTCAACAAAATAAATTAGAAATAAATTTAAAATATTATATTTGGGTTTTCTATTTCCAATTTAGGGTATATATTTCTACCATTTAAAAGAGATTTTGATTCATTTTAATATTAGTTTATGGTATTATATTTGGGTTCCCTATTTCCAATTTAGGGTATATATTTTCACCATTTAAAAGAGATTTTTATTTTAATATTAGTTTGTGGTATTATATTTGGGTTCCCTATTTCCAAATTAGGGTATATATTTCCACTATTTAAAACAATTTTGATTCAATTTAATATTAGATTAGTGTTTGCTCTCTTTTTTATTTTCTATCTTATATTTTCATTAAGTTTAATTGAAGTTTATGGTGCTATTTGTGGAACTTTTCAAATGAGGTGCTATTTTTGGAAAAAACAACTTTTTTGGGGCTATTTGTGTCAATCTCCCATTATTAAGGGTTTCTTAATAATAGCCCTTAAGGAATTAATGACTCTTAACTAAGGCACCTTTCTTAGTATTTTACATGCTTTGTCATTAATTTTTGATCTAAGATTTTGTTAAGAACTCTTTAAGAGCTCACCCTTAATGATGGTCTAAGGTGTTGTACCACTTTCTCTTTCTCCTTCTTCAAATATTCAAAAACTTTCTCTTGTTTCTTAATTGTTATAAAAAAATGGTATGAAGCTGATTATCTGTAATATATATTCACAAATATTTATAATTTATCTTAAATTTTTTATTTTATTGGTTGTAAATATGGTTGATTCTCTTTAATATTGAAATATAATTTTTCTTTAGTTTATGAAAAAACTACATGTATAAAATGAAAATGAACTACTCCATCTAGAGTGCCACCTCATCAGCACTTTTTCATATTTATTTTATGATTAGTTTAAATTTATTATTTAGGTGGTTTTAAATATGGGCATTTCAATTCAATATTTAAAGTTCATTTTGATTTAACTAAGTAAAAATTATATAAATAACCCAATGGCCAATACGATCTCACTTTTAAATTAAATTACTTTTTCATATTTGAATTATATCCCATCAAATCTACATCTTATAAATATTTAAAGAAAATACTAAATAAAAATTGTATTTAACTTATTTACCAAAACTAAGATACTGTATTTAATGCATTATTATAATAAAATCAAATACATATGATACATTTCTATTTGGGATACATTTATGGATTGCTTTCAATTTTTTTTTATAAAGTTGACTACGAGCAACTCATACTTATCCATACAGAAACTAATCTCCATAAAATATTGTATAAAAAATCAATAAAGATAAAAACAAATATATGTATATATATATACTTTTTGACATTAACTACTGTAAAAAAATTAATAATATATTAATTTTAACACTATTATTAAAAATAAAACAAATAACTAAAATAAAAATAGACGTGTAACGATATTATATTTAAATAAAGCAACAAAATAAAATCGCGCGCAAAACACAAAGCATACACTAGTCAAAAAAAAAGATGAAGAACACTAAAAAAGGAGAGAAATCTAATATGTTACCTTAAAATGAAGATTGAGTCTTTTATCTATGTTCTCTATATAAGCCTCATGTAGTAAAAGCTTAACACCTCTCTTGGCTTTCTTTGTGAAAATTGTTTGTCTATTATCTGTTTCTTTCGTGTGAGGTAAGTGTCGATACATGTACTTCTTTAATTGTTTTTCTTTCGATTTTTTGTTTGGAGCCTTTGATCACTTCTCTATTTTTTTCTTTTCTTATCACTCTTATTTCGAAGTATAATGTGAAATAATACTGAGGTTCCAAGTTTTATCAATGATCGCTTCAGATTCCATGTGATTGTTCTCTGGTAGCTAGATCTAATTCTTAATTGTAATTCAAACAATTATTTATATATATATATATAATATGTAAATATTATGTCTTAAAAATTTATTTTATTTTGCGACTTTGATTGCGTTCCATTGTTGTAAAGTTTTTAATGTTGGTACTATGTTGATCGACAATCGTTACTTTTTTTCTTTTATCTTTTCTTGGGTATAATGAAGCACTGACCAATTTGAAACCATGAGCGCACCAAAGCCAACTAAAACTAACCCACATAAGTACCTCAAGATTGTGAAGAACAAACTTCGAAACAAACGTGACATTTATGTTAGGTTTCTTCAGGTCATGACGGCTTACACAGCTCATAGGTATATATTTTCAGTGTAATGATTGGTTTTGCTCTTAAATATGATTTCTATTCATGTAAGACTTTTGTGAGTTTTGAGGTAATTTCATGGCAGAATTGATCCGAATGGTGTAAAATCTGTGGTGAAAGAACTCTTCAAGGAGGATCAAGAGCTGATTTCGGGTTTCAATACATTCTTGCCAAAGGGTTTTGAGATAACACTCAACTGTGAACAAACTCCACCAACAAATTTTATTGATGTTGAGTATTCGGAAGCTCTTGATTTTGTCAGAATGGTTAAGGTATGAACTTTGGGTAGAAAATAGAGGTCAAAATTTTGTCTTATATCATGAATTTTAGTGTTTTTCCTATCATTTCTATAAGAACATAAACCAAATAAAATTATTTTATAGTCTAGCCATAATAGAAATTATTGAAAGTGCAGATATTGTCGGAACACTATTGAAGCTGTTGGAACAAGATCGAGATTGAGTCTTTCTAGCGTGAAAGCAAAAAAGGCCACGTGGGTTGTGGGCCATTGTTCAAGTTAAGCCCAATTGCTTGTAGAGACTTGAAGTGTGGCTTAAGTCGTCTAGGGTTTTTGGCACTTGATATAAATACCAAGAGACGGCAACATGAAGACTTGCGCGTCTAGGGTTTATCGAGAGAGGCACACATGTGTGTGACGTTGCCCCATCAACAAGATAGAGAGATCTTTTGATGGTTTTGTTGAGAAGCTATACTCGTCGGAAAAGACAATAGGAGTAGTAGTTTTCGTTCATTGTAATTCTAGAAAAGAGTGGTGGATGCCATATAGCAATTGTAGGTTGCGGCCTTTTCTAGTGAATGGTTTCTGGACTTGGTCCCGGGGATGTAGGTTAACCGAACCCCGTTAACAAATCTCTTGTGTCTCATTTACTTTATGCACATACGAACTCGTTACACTCTCTCATCATACAAACGTATAGATCTAGCACACATATAGTAATTTCAATTGGTATCAGAGCGGGTTCTCGACAGAGATCCGTTCTCGTTTCGGGTATGGTCCTGGATGTGTGGCTAGCAGAGAGAAAGAAGAAACATGTTCATGAACGTTTAAGAAGAGAATCAATTTGGGAACGTTACGGCAAGCTTCAAGCGTTTATGATTTGGGATTATCTCAGGTTCTTAGGTATGATGGATTCGAGAGTCCAAGTTTGGTGACAAAGTAACCGCCGGAAATTGCAGAGATTTAGAGGAGTCGGTGGTTGTTGATCGGAATCGTGTTGCGGAAGCATTGACGAGGAGAGGACAGAGTGTAAGGTATGGAAGCTGTATGCCATAAACGACAAAGAAAAAAATCGGAGGCCTAATTGATCGACTCATGTTGACTCCGGTGTCTAATTGCCATTGTTGTGGGTTATGAATTATGATATGTGTTTTGTGTTTCGGAAGAACGTGGGATTGAATCAACTCGCTCTAGTTTGATGCCATGCGTGTTCATGGGGAAGAACGTGAAACACAGTGAATCTGGTCTTCCTAATTGAGTTGAATTTGTAACGGATTGGAATAAAAAGAGAGTTTGATTTCTCTTCTAGTCTTGTGAAATTGAAGATCTAAGTGAAAGAAGATATAAGGTTGTCAGCTCCGTTGGTTCCTAGAGAGGATTATCGGCAAAGAAATCGTCGCCGGTTGCTCATAGTTGCTGATCGGAATCTGGAGTGCGTCTTGGTCCTGCGTCTCTGAGGGTAAAGAAAGACGAAGATTTATGGTGTGAGGTTCTGATCTTGGTCAAGAGAAAGATACATGCATGGTAGACATGATGGAGCAGATTCGCGAGATAAAGATGATGTGTAAGAATCTTCTCTGTGAGGAAAACGAGGTCATCTCAGAATTTAATCAAAGCTTCAAGGTCTTGAAAGAAGAAGAATTCATGAAGTGATCTGCTATGATTATGAGATCAGGAGGCTGTCTACAAACTTACATTGAAAAGAAGAGGACTAATAAACTTTGATCTTGGAGCAAATTCTGTTTAGACTCACGTGCAACAATATGTGGAAAGTTCAAGCTTCTGGCATTGCAATAAATTGGTTATGTAACTGAGGAGATTCAAAAACCGGTGAACAGGAAGATCGTCTCTCAAGTCACACTTAGAATCTCGTGGTCTAGAAAAGCAAAGCTTCTAAAACCATGGAGGAGAAAACAAGATCCAGAGTTAAGATTAGCGGTAATGGAGCTCTCCTATGATAGGCTTGCTAGGTATGAAAATTTTCTCAAGTCTTGGTGGTCATTGTTGGCATTAATTGGGGCATTTTAAAAGCAAAAATCAAAATCTCTTGAGTTGGAGCTCTTGATTGAGATGTCAGCACATATGAGACATGGACCTCTAAAGATTCAAGAAATGAAGTGTCTTGCAGTCATGAAGTTTATCGTTGGAAGATCAATATCTTGAGCTGATTTCTCAAATTTGAACAAGCTAGCATTAGATCAAACTTTTGGTCTTCTTTAATCGGCCATTTCGGATCTTTTCTTCTGTGATGACTATCAGAAAAAAGAGGTTGAAAATTGAGGATTTTGTTTAAAGTCTCCCTCGTGCAAGCCTTCTCTGTTGCAGTTTTTGTACTAACTAGAAGATAAATGTATTGAGCGGTACTGGTGATTCTCGATTGCAGAAAAGAAATTTGGCTTCGGGTGTATACGCTTGTCGTCTCTGTTATGCTTAAGTTTATGGGTTGTGATAATGGAGCTGACCTATTATCGACATGTTGGCTGGCGTTGGATTTAATGGTTCTTTGGAGCAGAAATTGAGTTTGTCAGATTTTGAAAGGTCTACCATCCGAGTTTTAAAAGCAGTATGATTGGTTGTAGAGAAAGTTGACAAATCCGGAAATTAATATCAACCAGAGCAAGATGAAGATTAGAGAAATTGGTTTCTCAAGCTTGTGTGGCATGTTGTGGCAATTACTCTTGCATCATGGTTTTTCTCTGCACAGTTCTGATATTTAGTTCAGGTTTTTGAGTTTCTTTGATGTTTTGAGCTGCTTGAGAATCGTTGCGTTCCGGAACTAACTTTGAGGTTATCGTTGATTTGGTGTATCTTGGGTTTTTGATGCGGTTTTAACAATTTGTGTTGAATGCGTGTGTCCTTACTTGAAAGCTTATTGCTTTATTGAGACACACAATCAACAAGGGGGAGAGGAACATTGAAACCAAGAGCAAAGAGCTTCATAGAAGAATTATTGGAATTATTGGTCCTTGCCGTGTTGAATTAAAGGTGAATCAAAATGGAGCCTATGGAATATGGTCTTTAATTGTGTCGTTTGGACCAAGAGATCATGGTTCGGTCAAAAAGAATCAAAAATTCGATTCACGTCTTTATGAGGGAATTGTGTGTTGAGTTGATATCGACAAGGAAGAAGCAAGCTCAGTTGTAATTTTTCTTGTCAGGTTAAAGATGAAGTCGTGCTCATAATGCCAACAGAGTCATGTGGCGTAAAAGTTGAGAAGCAATGATGACTGTGTCAAAGCGTGAAGGTGAAACCGTTGACAAGAGGAAAGTCACAGTGATGGTCTGAGAGATGGAACCAATATTCATAGATTTGGTTTTTCTGTTTTTGAAAAATAACTTCTGCTGGTCTTATATGCAAAATGGGGAGGAAGTTTGAGTCTTGCTCACCATGTGCTCGACGAAATGCCTGAGAGAGATATTGTCCAAGTTGATATTTGATCGTGCTGGAATCTTGAAGCAGAATTTTCCCTTGATGATGTTTTAAAGGCATATGTGCATATGAGTATCATTCTTGTTGTTCTTTTTCTGATTTGAAGATATAGGGGACATAACATGAGCTTCGACCATTTGATTATGCTTATATAAGAGCTTGAAGGCTTTGTTTTATTTGGTAAGCACTCTTGGAGTTATGTTGATTGTGCTGATTGAAGCACATAATCAACAAGGGGGAGAAGAGTGTTCCAAGAACGTGTTCCAAGAGCTTGTTAATGTTCTTGTGTTTGTTCAAAGGGAAAAAAAAAAAGAACGTCGATGCGCTGGTAGTTGTAAAGCAATCAAAGAATGATGCAGAAGAAGTTTGATGCAACTCTAAGTCGAGAAAAGTAACTCAGAGGAAGAATGATAAAGAAGGTTTCAGGTTTCAAAGACAGGTTTCGTCTCATGGTGTTTTCCTACATTTCTTCGGCTACAGACCTTGGATTTTAGCTCTGAAGGATGCTCTGAAATCTTGAGAGTGAGATCTTTCCAAGGAAATAAATATCGTCGTCTAGTTCCTCGTGGTTTGATGGGAAATTGCTCCCAACGTTGCATGCTCGCAGGTTTATAGCATTTTGGATATGTCTTGGGAAATCATTCGTAACTTTCAAACGGTAAACCCAAATCGTGATCCGTTTTTTCCTGCGGCTTCATATGGCTGTTGTTGATATTGCCACAAAATTTCATAATTTTCTGGGTTAGTTTGCTACTCCATTTGTGTTCTGCATTAAGACAGATCAAGAAGCTCAGTTCAAGTGTTCTTTGATTTTGGGAATGATGCCTCTGTTGTTGATTCAAAATCATGGTGATAAAAGCAAGATTTACTTTGTGACAGCATATGTTCATGAAGATTTTGTCAAGATGGGCATTTTTTCATTCTTTGTGGTATACTCGGACTTATATTGCTCCAAGGCTATACTGAGGACAGTTTTACGTTTTTCTAGGAACATGTTGATGGTGGAGTGTCTCAAGTTGAGGAAGATATGAGTTAAGGTTTTTCAGTCTGGGAAGAGTGAAGGTGAAGAGGATCTAAGCTGCATCATAAAGGGAAAGAAGATTATTAATTGATCTGGAAAAGATTACAGAAATCTGTTTCAAGATAGCATCTTCAAGAGAAGGTCTGGAGATCCAAGAGTAATCTGATATCTTCAACAGAAGGTCTGGAGATCCAAGAGTAATCTGATCATGCTGAAATTTTATGGGGAGCTTTGTGTTATTACGGGCTTGAGATTCAACGGTGGGATTGAAGTTTTGACGGTTGAATTGCATTTTATTCAAGCGCTTCCAATCTGTTCCGGAATCAGTCCATTCAAAATATCAGTTTTGAACAGTTCCGGTGGAGACATCAAATGATTGACCAAACAAACTCGGAATGAGTTGAATTTTTGCAGAGATATTCTAGATGTGAGAGGTTAATTTCTGATAGAAAGGCACAGGATTCGAAGTTCGGGAACATAGTTGAATGATGGCGTTTCAGATCGGTTATTTCAGAGACTTCTAAGGCTTTGTTTTATAAATGAAGCTTGGAATTGTGTCGAACATGGTAGTATGTTTCAGTCTAGAGAAGCAATGAAGGGAATGCGTTTCATGGGTTTGTTGTACGATGTCGACGGTCAACAAAGCCGGACATCCATAGCATCATGATCTTCAGAGAAGAAAAACCTGGTTCATGTGAGTTATGTGTTGATAAAGCATGTAGGCAAAAGGTTTTATTTATATGGTTCGAAAATTTGTGTGTAAAGTATGCTTGCTTCTTCCAAGCCGGATCCAAAGACCTCTCCCAAAGATGAAAGTAAGATAGCTGAAGCTGAAAAGATTTGAAAATCAAAAGGAAGCCTGTGAATGTGCTTTGATTAATCTGAGAAAGAGTTTGAAGGTTTTCTTCTCCAATATATCTAAGCTCGAGGAACTCAAATAGTTGATTTCTGAGATTTGTTGAAAAGGTGTTTCCAGTTTGGTATAGATGCAAAGAGAGAGAAACAGGTCGGAAGATGACATCTATTTATAACGCAAGAGCTCAGGTTTCATCGCTGCTTAAAAGAGGTATCAAGTTCAGCTTTGATTAATGGTCATGAATTCAACATCAATCGTCTTTCTCTTCTACACGAGTATGCAAATTTTTGAAGGCTTCTCGTATTTTTCTGCTGTGTTAAGAAAGAATTGTATGGAAGTTTTACAGAAGTGGTCTAAGTTCAGAACTGTTTCTAGACTTGTCTTCAGAAAGCGGCTGTCCATGAGACATGTAGTTGTTGCAATGTATGTGAAGGTTTGAGCAGTGCAAAGATAACCAAGGTTGAGTTGTTCAAAATAGATGGACTTTCAGAAACTGGAAATCTCAATGATAAGAAGCCGTTTGGTTCAAGTTTACTGCAAGTAATTCAAGAAGCGGTCTGTAGATTTGTGACTTTCTTGTGCTATAACATAGTTATATATTCATAGTGAGACAGAAATTGTCTGCATGCGTGCCAAATCTTTTGACCAAGGAGAAGGATTCAAAGAGAGTATTAACCCTCAATTTTAGATGGGTTATATTGCGGATGGCCTCATTTGTACAAGAGAAGTTATTGTAGATAACAATTATATGGTTGAATGAGCTAACTGAAGCTTAGTGAAGTTGTGAATATGAGAACAAGCTGCATTTGGAGACAACGACTAGGTGTGTTCAAGTTTGTCTAAATTTGTGACATGATCAGATCTCTTGGATTAATTCTTAAGAAGAACGCTTGCAATGTCAGTTTTGTGGAGCAGATTAGAAGTCATGTCGATGCTTTTGAGCGAACAAATTTCGGTTGTGAGTTTTGGTGAAGGATCTGATTCTCTGGTCAGGATTGGTATAAGGATTTCGTGAGAATAATGATCAAGCCAACTAAGATTATTTGCAGTATGTATCAGCAAGGAAGAACCTATTCAAGAGAAGAACATGTTCACAGAGTTTTATCAACTCAATCAGGGGGAGATACTGGAGGATGCTGGTTATGTATGATTGAGCTGTAAAACTCAGGGGGAGAATGTGATGCAATGGTGTAGGGGGAGTGTCATCCGCCGTGTAGCTGCTCATATGAACGATTTGATTAACGACCATTGCATGTTTGGCTTGAGAATGGATGGATTTTTATTCTGGCCCATCTGTTGACGAAGACGTAAAGAATTAATGGGTGTTGACTTTGGTTGTCAATTAAGCTGGAGAATTTTGCAAAAGAAGAGAAAGGTGAAGATATTAAAGCAAGGAGGATCCTTGATTTGTACTCTGCATAAGATGCTTGATTATGATGATTAGCTCTTTAAATCCATTGACCATGTTGCTGATAAAGACTAAGCTTTCTGGATGGGATTAACAATTTAGAGAGCAAAGATTGGTATCTCCACATCAGACGTGGATCTTCTTGATTTTGAGGTTCTTGTGCAATCAGATTCAGGAGGAGGAAAATCATAGTAAAGCTCAAAAAGGAAGGAAATTCTGATTGCGGAGTATGCTCCAATAGGTATGATTAAGCTGATTCTGCACTTAGTGTTTTAACAGAGTTTTATCAACCAAGCAGAGGGAGATTGTGATAGTTCTTGAACAGAATAGTAGCAAGATGATATATGATTAAGGGAGAGCCTTTACATCATGATTATTGATGAGTATGCGTGCTTGACATGGTGAGCTTGAGTTATAAAACTCAGTTAAGAAGGGAGAGATTGAAAGTGCAGATATTGTCGGAACACTATTGAAGCTGTTGGAACAAGATCGAGATTGAGTCTTTCTAGCGTGAAAGCAAAAAAGGCCACGTGGGTTGTGGGCCATTGTTCAAGTTAAGCCCAATTGCTTGTAGAGACTTGAAGTGTGGCTTAAGTCGTCTAGGGTTTTTGGCACTTGATATAAATACCAAGAGACGGCAACATGAAGACTTGCGCGTCTAGGGTTTATCGAGAGAGGCACACATGTGTGTGACGTTGCCCCATCAACAAGATAGAGAGATCTTTTGATGGTTTTGTTGAGAAGCTATACTCGTCGGAAAAGACAATAGGAGTAGTAGTTTTCGTTCATTGTAATTCTAGAAAAGAGTGGTGGATGCCATATAGCAATTGTAGGTTGCGGCCTTTTCTAGTGAATGGTTTCTGGACTTGGTCCCGGGGATGTAGGTTAACCGAACCCCGTTAACAAATCTCTTGTGTCTCATTTACTTTATGCACATACGAACTCGTTACACTCTCTCATCATACAAACGTATAGATCTAGCACACATATAGTAATTTCAATTATATGTTTGATGTTCCACTTTCCCTTAATATCATTTATTTGTAGAAAACATTTCAGGGTGACGACCGTATATACAAATCATTTGTTAATATTTTGGACATTTTATACCAATTAGTGTGACCATTTTAATATATAATTAATTCAACAATTATATAGTAAACAAAAATCAAAATTTTCACCTACAAATAATTAACTATAGAGTTTAAAGAATATTATTTATAATGACAAATTAAACATATTCAAATTTAGACCTGTTGTACATCGCTACTTAATTAAATGTATGTTTTTGTATCTATATTTTTACAAAGGAAACCTAAAACATCTTTATCGTAAACTACAATATATAAATGTTTTTAAAAATCATACAATTTCAATCATTTTTGTATAATACATAATCATATAATTTTGAAAATCACGATTTTTGAAAAACAAATCTGAATGCATTATACCGCAAATCAATCCCTAATTAATATTCAAAGAAATAGTTTTTGACTATTTTCCGATTTATTTACTAAACAATAAATTTAATCCAAACACACTATAAAATCGCAAAACAAAAGTATGAATATAATTTTATTGCTATAATACGATAAAAAGTTTTATTATTATTATTATTATTATTATTATCATTTTCTTTGTATTCTGTTTTCTCCAATGCATGATTTGCATCTACATAACATAATACCAATTTTTCTTAATTTCTTTCATGTCAACAAACAATTATGATACTTTATTTTATATCATTTTCTTGCCACCGAGTATGATGCTTCTTATTAAATTAGCAAAAAAAAAAACATACATTATTATAAACAAATGATCCTTATCTTATATCTCATACCCAACTAATCAAGTAGAACAATCATTAACGAAAATTTGCATTTTCTTTTTGGTAGATCCATAATAATGCTACACTGAAGTCTCTCATCATATATATTGCCAAAGACTGTGGCACGCAGCCCTAAGCCCTCTCCATCATCTCCGACGTCAGATTCTTCATGACCCTTCCCATACTCTTTTGATCCATCAATCATGTATTTAGCCAGAGCTGCTTCTTCTTCTTCCTCTCGCTCTCTTCTCTTCTCCTTCCGATCTTCCCTCAGATCTCCTCCTGTCTCTTCTCATCTTCTTCGCCGCTCTTTCGTCACCTCCTTACCTCGTTTGAGCCACTCGAAACCTTTTCCACTTCGCATCGGTTCTCAGATCAGAGCCGTTTCTCCTGTCTTAGACCGTCTCCAGAGAACTTTCTCTTCCATGGGTAATTTCAATTTTCTCTCTTTTAAAGGTTTTGCAAATGAAGAATCAGAAATTATGTTTTTTTTTTCTCTCTGTTTCAGCTTCAGAGCATCCGTTCAAAGGGATCTTCACTACTCTTCCTAAGCCTGGTGGTGGCGAATTCGGAAAATTCTACAGCTTACCTGCTCTCAATGATCCTCGCATTGGTAAGTGATTATTAGCTCCCTCTAGGTTCTTGCCGTGAAGTCTGAGGATTAGATTATTTATGTTTGATTTGGTTTTGATGCAGATAAGCTTCCTTACTCTATTAGAATTCTTCTTGAATCTGCGATTCGTAACTGTGATAACTTCCAAGTTACTAAGGAAGATGTTGAGAAGATTATTGATTGGGAAAACACTGCTCCTAAACTAGTCGAGATTCCTTTTAAACCTGCTCGTGTTCTTCTGCAGGTACACTTTGTTTTCAGTCTAGAGATTATGCAATTTTTAGATGGTTTTTCTAATGTTTTTGCAACTTGTGTTCTGGCAGGACTTTACTGGGGTACCAGCTGTTGTTGATCTTGCTTGTATGCGTGATGCTATGAATAAACTGGGGAGTGATTCCAACAAGATTAATCCGTTGGTACATCTCTTGTTCGACCAGCTGATTCTTCTGTTTTACCTTAGGTGTTGTAGTTTTCTTACTTGTTCCATCGTGCATTCCAGGTTCCGGTGGATCTTGTAATTGATCACTCAGTTCAAGTTGATGTTGCAAGATCTGAGAATGCAGTTCAAGCCAACATGGAGCTTGAATTCCAGAGGAATAAGGAGAGGTTCGCTTTCCTTAAGTGGGGTTCTACTGCTTTTCAAAACATGCTTGTTGTGCCCCCTGGTTCTGGTATTGTGCATCAGGTAATTTCCTTGCAGCTTACTCTGCTAATATCTTGGTTCATCTTAAACTTTGTCTAGCTTTTTGTAGCTTTCGTCTGGTATTAATTTAGTCTGGATATTGAAATTCAGGTTAATTTGGAATATCTGGGAAGAGTTGTGTTCAATACCAAAGGTCTTCTCTACCCAGACAGTGTGGTTGGAACTGACTCACATACAACTATGATTGATGGTCTGGGAGTTGCTGGATGGGGAGTTGGAGGCATTGAAGCTGAGGCGACAATGCTTGGCCAGGTAAAGTACTTATTTCTCACTTTTGACTATATCCCATCTATTTTTTTTGTCGAAAATTTTACCCTGTCTAATGTTGGTGAATTTGGAGGCTAGTTTCCTGAATTTATGTCAGATGCTAAGGTCACATGTCAGATGCTAAGGTCACTTTGTGTCATTAGTTGTCTGGTTTAATATATCAGTTTGTTAGTTCATCCAACCTTGCTTTTACTAATGATTTTTCTGTTTTAACAGCCCATGAGTATGGTATTGCCTGGTGTTGTTGGATTCAGTCTGTCGGGAAAATTACGTAATGGTGTTACTGCTACTGATTTGGTTTTAACTGTGACCCAAATACTGAGGAAACATGGTGTTGTTGGCAAGTTTGTTGAGTTTTATGGTAAAGTCTTTTTCCAATTAAACTCTTGGAAATGTTTCCCGTAAGTTTGGCATACTTGTGTTTGTTGGCCCCTATATGTTAAGTCTTTTATTTTTTGGCTTTAGGTGATGGTATGAGTGAACTGTCCCTGGCTGACAGGGCCACAATTGCCAATATGTCTCCCGAGTATGGTGCAACCATGGGGTTCTTTCCTGTCGATCATGTTACTCTACAGTATCTTAAATTGACTGGAAGAAGCGATGAGACGGTGAGTATTTGGCCTCAATTCTCGTGTTGCCTATTTTCAGGACTCTGAGCTGACCTAATTCTTCTTTGTGTGCAGGTTGCCATGATTGAAGCATATCTTCGGGCAAATAACATGTTTGTTGACTACAGTGAGGTATGACCTTGTCTTTTTATGTCTTGGATTTTTATCTTTATATTTTGCTTCTGGTTGTTAATTGACTTCTTCTGCTTTTTGAATAAATTCAGCCTCAGCAAGAGCGTGTTTACTCATCTTATCTGGAATTAAATCTGGATAGTGTTGAACCTTGCATTTCCGGACCTAAGAGGTATGAGCTCTGTTGGTTTGTTAACCACTAAGTAGTCTATTTGATTGATGGACTACTATAATGATATCCTTATCTTTTCACAGGCCACATGATCGTGTTCCTCTAAAAGAAATGAAAGCTGACTGGCACTCATGTTTAGACAGTAAAGTTGGGTTCAAGGTAAGCAATAATACTTGGTATATGGAGGTCTATTTTTGTTTAGCATCTATTTGATTTAAACTTGCTGTGGAGGCACTTGGTGGGTGCTACTTTCCTGATTGGATGTGTACATTCTTCTTGGCAGGGTTTCGCTATACCTAAGGAGGCGCAAGAGAAGGTAGTTAAGTTTTCTTTCAATGGACAACCTGCTGAGCTTAAACATGGCAGTGTGGTGATTGCTGCGATCACAAGTTGCACTAATACATCAAACCCCAGTGTCATGCTTGGTGCTGCTCTTGTTGCCAAAAAGGCCTGTGACCTTGGCCTACAGGTTAGTTTCCACCAAATTAAACTAGATTTATATAATGTGTTGATATGATCCTTAAGTAAATCATTTCACCCTTAGGTAAAGCCTTGGACAAAAACAAGTCTTGCACCAGGTTCAGGAGTTGTTACAAAATACTTACTAAAGAGGTACGGCCCTGTACGTTGCACATTTCACGTAGTTAATGCTATGTAATTTCGAGCTTTGATGGACACATTTAACATTCGTGCACTTGCTGCAGCGGCCTGCAAAAATATCTGAACCAGCAGGGTTTCAATATTGTTGGTTATGGCTGCACTACATGCATTGGCAACTCTGGAGAGATCGATGAATCAGTGGGAGCTGCCATTACAGAAAATGGTATTATTGAGATTGAATAAATTGAATTGGATAGCTTTTGTAGACAAAAATGGCATGCAATGTTATTCTAATATTTGCTCCCCATATTGTCAGACATCGTGGCAGCTGCTGTGCTTTCTGGGAACAGAAACTTTGAGGGCCGTGTTCATCCATTAACAAGAGCCAACTACCTTGCATCTCCACCTTTGGTGGTTGCCTATGCTCTTGCTGGAACGGTACACAATTTGGGGAATTTTTAAAAGTGTAATATATTTAATATTTCCTATTCGATTGTACATGACCAATATTTTGTAAGTGTTCTATTTCCCAGGTTAACATTGACTTTGAGACAGAGCCCATTGGCAAGGACAAGAATGGTAAGGATGTCTTCCTCAGGGATATCTGGCCCACCACAGAAGAAATTGCTCAGGTACTTACAACTTAGAATCACTGAATGTATTTCTCTCCAGGTACACATTAATTGACTTTCTTTGGGCGTATGTTACAGGTTGTTCAGTCCAGTGTGTTACCTGACATGTTCCGAGCTACTTATGAATCCATCACCAAGGGAAACCCGATGTGGAATCAGCTGTCTGTTCCTGAAAACACTCTGTACTCATGGGATCCTAAGTCAACTTACGTACACGAGCCTCCATACTTCAAGGACATGACCATGGATCCTCCTGGGCCGAGCAGTGTGAAGGATGCGTACTGTTTACTGAACTTAGGCGACAGTATCACCACAGACCACATATCTCCAGCTGGAAGCATCCACAAGGACAGTCCCGCTGCAAAGTATCTCCTCGAACGGGGGGTTGACCGCAAAGATTTCAACTCATATGGAAGTCGACGTGGAAACGATGAAGTTATGGCTAGGGGAACATTTGCAAATATCAGACTTGTTAACAAGCTGTTGAATGGAGAAGTTGGCCCTAAGACGGTTCACATTCCTACTGGAGAGAAGCTATCTGTCTTCGATGCAGCCATGGTTTGTGTTTCTTAGCTTAATTTTCCCAACGAAGTCCTGTGGGTGTATTACTGACTGTATAATGATAATGTCTGCTTATTCAGAGATACAAAGCAGCTGGTGAGGCCACCATTATTCTGGCTGGAGCTGAGTATGGTAGTGGTAGCTCCCGTGATTGGGCTGCCAAGGGACCCATGTTACAGGTCCGAACCTCCCTCCATCTCTCTTTCTCTCTCTGCAGTTTGTGTCCTAAATTCTCTGCTTTTTGCTTTTTTTTTTCTGAGAGAAATTGTTGTGTTTTACAGGGCGTTAAAGCAGTGATCTCAAAGAGTTTTGAAAGGATTCACCGGAGTAACTTGGTGGGAATGGGAATCATCCCACTGTGTTTTAAGTCTGGTGAGGATGCAGACACCCTTGGATTGACAGGTAAGGAGCGTTACACCATCCATCTCCCAACCGATATCTCGGAGATAAGACCTGGGCAAGATGTTACTGTCACTACAGACACTGGAAAATCTTTCACCTGCACAGTCCGCTTTGACACTGAGGTATATTTGTACACTCCATTTTTCAAAATGTTTTGGTGTAGAAAAAGAGATTTCATTGTAAACTAATGGTAAATGGGCATATAGGTGGAACTGGCTTACTTCAACCACGGAGGCATACTTCCATATGTGATCAGAAACTTGAGCAAGCAATGAAGATTCAGGTGGTGATAGTCCTTTGTAATTCCTTCCACAGCAGCACCGACATTTGTGCGGTTGCGAATAGAGAAATAAGATTGTCCTTTCTTTTTAAGGACCTAACTTTTTGTCGGCTTTTAATTCGTTTCATAAGCAGATTCTAGTCTGTCGACGATTGGTTTTACTCCACCAAAATGTTCTTATTCATAGGGTCTGAATGGCAATGTGCTATTCAAATGCGATAGAGATTTTGAGTGTGTGAGAGATGAAAGCTGACTGGCTCTCATGTTTGTACAGTATAGTTGGATTGAAGGTAAGCAATCATGATGTCTAGTTTTGTTTAGCATCTATTTAGTTATAAATATGGTTTGCAAAGCTGAGGTGAAAAAAATCAAAAAGGATAAAGCAATTTCTATAAAGCAAAATCGGTTTAAAATAAAAAAAAAAAAAAATCAAAATTAAGGTAGTGATCTACTCATATCACACAACTAAATGATACGAATAGAGATAATTCTTTTTACGATAGATTCTCGTACACACACTTCAAAACGGATTTTCGATATTTATGCTACCAGATTGTAGTATCTTTCATATGTTCTAGTATTTATATACCTATAGAGTTAACTACAAGAATCATTACTGAAACTAATATATGCATAATCACTTCAACTCAACGACGGACGGATATATAGAGAGATAGTTTATGCGAGACAATATTCATCAAAATATGAATTGATTTTAACGTGCGGTAGAGAATTTGACCAAAAACATGTGGAAATCAACTAGAAACAAAACAAAAAAAATTTCACTACTTATTGGGTTATATATATATATATATATATATATATATATTTTCTATAATAAAGTAGGATTTCCTTCTAAACGCATGCTACAAGAAGCTGACATGTGCCATCTCTCCTTATGACATGTGTATTTTTTTATTTTATCTGAATATCATTATTTAGGTTTTAAACAAAAAAAACCATTATTTAGTTTCGTTAGATTTAATCATGTATATCATTATTAAAAAAATAATCTTAAAAATATTTTTATCCTAATTTTTAATCATTCAAAAAAAAAAACAACTAAATTACTTTACTCCAAAATAAGGTATAGAAGATTCTAATGTTAATTAAAACTTTTGATAATGTCATTTTCTTGAAAATGGAATGTAGCGTTTGTATAGTGTACATGTTGTAATAATTATTTAAATCAAATAAATATATTAGATGTGGTAGAAATTTAAATTGTTAATGTCTTACATTAAATTGTTAATCACTTTTGTTAATTTCTTACATTGAATTGTTAATCACTATCTCCATCAATATAATTTACAGAAATAATTAAAAGCTATACTATATCATCTCATATTGTAATTTCTAGACATGCGTCTTTCTCTATTCTTTAATATATATATATCAAAGTCAATTAAAATATACAACATGCGTTAATATATAACTCCACAATTAGTTTTCTAATCTAAAGAATTAATGTGGCTGTGCCGTTTTTAATTAATACTCGGATGAATCATATATATAAAATCAATACAATAAAAACACTAGGAAACTCTCCAGCATCTGACACATCAGCAATTTAGTGTATTCTGGAGCTGACACATCATTAAAAAGACAAACCAATCAAAACATTTCAATTAATACACATCATCTCTCCATCTTGCCACATCAGGTTTTCACTAAAAAAATACCTCATTAAAATTATAGCCAATCAAATTAAATTAAACAATATACACTACAATTTTTTTTATAATAACATTTTTAATTTTGTTAAAAGAAAAACAAAACCAAATAAACATCTATTTGTATATTCTAGATTTGTTTTCACAGTCTCATTGTCTTATCTGTTTCGATTCCTCCAAATTAATTTGTAACTTTTATATATTTCAATTTTAACCCATTGTTGATTTCAAATATTAAAGAAAATAAAAAATGTGTTACAATTTAAATTACTACAACAAACACTCTCGGTCATTATCTTTTCGTTTTTGCAAAGTGAAAGCACAAAACTTAGTAAGATCCAATTTCGTAAGACTTTTGATGTTCTTATTTTGATACTTCATTTATTTTATGATTAATCCAATTCCAAAAAATTAAAATCATATTTTTAAAATAAATTAAGTATCAATATGTATCGTATATATCGTCATAAAATAAATAAAGTATCAAAATAAGAATTTTGTTTTTTTCTATAGGTAAAATAAAATTACTGAAAAAATAAAATAAATAAAATAAAATACACACTTGAAAATATGACATTAAGAGTTTGAATACATTAGATGAAATATTGAGTATACGCATGCATAATACATAAATTTTGATATGGAGGGATAATACAATATATTCATTTTGTAAAATAATATATAGCATATATTTATTAATATTTGTATATATATAATAAAATAGCTAACTAAATCTACTAAAATATGATAAAAGGTAAAAACTCAAATTTTAGAAGTCTTTTAAATCTATATCAATCATATTTATATTAAAACAAAATTAATATTAAAAATATTCCGAAGTATAGATAAAACACCAAATCTTAGAAATCTTTTAAATTGTTACAAATTATACTTATATTAAAACAAAATAATATTTTAAAAATACACATTTTCCAAAAAATTAAAATTCATATTTTTAAAAATAAATTAAGTATCAATATGTATCGTATGATATATCGTCATAAAATAAATAAAGTATCAAAATAAGAATTTTGTTTTTTTTTCTATAGGTAAAATAAAATTACTGAAAAATAAAATAAATAAAATAAAATACACACTTGAAAATATGACATTAAGAGTTTGAATACATTAGATGAAATATTGAGTATACGCATGCATAATACATAAATTTTGATATGGAGGGATAATACAATATATTCATTTTGTAAAAGTAATATATAGCATATATTTATTAATATTTGTATATATATAATAAAATAGCTAACTAAATCTACTAAAATATGATAAAAGGTAAAAACTCAAATTTTAGAAGTCTTTTAAATCTATATCAATCATATTTATATTAAAACAAAATTAATATTAAAAATATTCCGAAGTTTAGATAAAACACCAGATCTTAGAAATCTTTTAAATTGTTACAAATTATACTTATATTAAAACAAAATAATATTTAAAAAATACACATTATATTAATATTTTCTAAAAACAAAGGTTTAAAATTATAGCTTAAATTTAATATAAATTAATAAATCAATTACGCTTTAAAAAATAAAAAATGTACATTTACATAAGCCTTACAATTTAACTTATAAAACACATTTAAATAAATCGTATATTATTATAAAACATCTGATAAAAACGGCTTACAGAAATCATATAAGGTTTTTTAGAACGATGTATATGTGTTTTATAAGTAAAAAGCTTATAAACATCTTATAAATATTATATAAGCTTATAAACATCTTATATAAAAATATTATAAAAGCTATAAAAGCTTATAAATAATTTTATAAAGGTTATAAACCTTATAATATTTTATAAATATTTATAAGATGTTTATAAGTTTATATTATGAGGTGTTTATAAAAGTATAAACATATTAAATATTATAACATCTTATAACATATACATCTTATAAAAATATTATAAAAGGCTTATTATATACATCATAAAAATATAAATATAATACAAATAAAATATAAACCAATGTTAGCCAAGAATAACACAAAGCCAAATTAAATTAAAAAAATGTATTTGTACTTTGACATACATGGAACTATTATTCAAAACAGTTATATTTTACAAAAATAACAAAAGAGAAATAAATAACTTTTCTAGCAACAAAAAATATATAAAATTGGGTGATTAAATTTGTATAAACTACAAAAAAAAACTAAGAATTGAAATAGAGACTATAATTATAACTACAAAACTAGATCATCACCCGTACTAAAGTACGGGTTAAATTTTATTTATTACAAAATTTATATAATATATATATTAGAACTAAGTTTTAATATATTATAATAGTAAGTGAAAAAATATTAATTTTTTTGTCAGTCCCTATATACAATATTAGAATAAATATAGAATTTTTTCTATAATACTCAATTATGGATAATTTTTTTTTTTAAGATATGAAAACGGAAAATAATTTTATTTTTAAAAAACAATATTTTTTGAACAATGAGTTAATTTATGTTAACAACCACAAAATAGGATTGCATATATTTCAGTTAGATCAAAAATTAAAATATCATAAATGAATCGCATATAAAACATAGATTATTTTGAATTAATTAAAAAATTAGCTATTATTTTGAATTAATTTAGAAAATTCTCTTTCAATTTATAATTCTTTGGTTGTTGAAATAGAGATTTGTTTGAGCTAATCTAATTACAGAATTTGTTTGAGATTTATAATTACGGAATTTACCAATTATTCGCATAATCGAATATGTTATAAACATATATTTAGTATATAATAATACCAAAATCAACCCATGCGTGGAGTCTATATTTTTATTTTAGAATCTCAATATTTCATTTTAAAATATTGCGTGCACAATCTATTATTCGTTAATTCGAAAATTGCTTGCGGAATCAAACTTTCAAATATTTAGAGGTGTCAAACCTTATTTAAATGTTCTACACTATTTTTAAATATTCCAAATTAAAATCTTTAAATTTTTTATGTAGTTTATAAAATTATGAATTTCAAAAAACAAATTATATGAAATTAAATATAACTATTCAAATAGTTATAAAGATCAAAACTCATTTCATCGTATAATATATTATATTAAACCCGCTACCTATTATAAATATTTTTAAAAATAATCAAATTAGAGTAGGGAAATTGTTAATAATGCCACTTTTTCAATGCCACTTTTCAAAAATACCCCTTTTTAAAACCTTATAAAAAATGCTCTTAAAAATATAAGATTTACCCAAATATGTATGTAATATTATTAAAACATACACAAACTACATTTCTATGTATCTAAAATCTTATAAATACTTTATAAATACCTTATAAATGCATTTTAAATACCTTTAAAAACCTTTAAAATATCTTGTAAAACCTTTGAAAAACCTTAAAAATCCTTTAAAATAACTTGTAAAACCTTTAAAAACACCTTATAAAACCTTATAAATACTTGGATCGAGTCTTCAAGTAGTAGTTACAATCCATAAGTACCTTATAAACCTAATAAAACTTTATAAAAATTTCAGATTTAAAAAGGGGCATTTTTGAAAATGGACATCTAAAAGGGGCATTTTTGAAAAGGGGCATGAGAAAAGGGGTATTTTTACTAATCCCCCATTAGAGTATTTATAATTTTTAACTTTTTGAAATATTAAGTATTGATGATATTCTCTAAAAATATCAAGTAAAACTTATTTTAAATGTTGCAAATTAAAATATTAAAATTTTTATTGTAGTATATAAAATTATACATTTCAAAAAAAATAAATGTATGAAATCGAATATAAATATTCAAATTCTGACCCGTTGCTCAGTCGGAATTTTTGTTGACTTTATTTTTGTGTAAAAGAAATATATTACTCAAGTCTGAATTTTTGACCCGTTTAATTGTTTTCTTTATAGATTGAACAATTTATATGCGTTTTTAAAAATTCAAATCTTGGCATATGCAAAAAAAAAATTACTTTTTTTTTTATTATGTAGATGATATGTTGATTTATTTGTTTCATATTAATATAATCATATTAAGATGAGAGGTGAAGTTTAATGATTAATAACAAATTAATATGTTAGGTTAGATATCAAATCTTATATGTTCATTTTGATTGGTCATTTAAAAAAAAAATAACAGATTTTCGTTTTATAATTTAATTAAATTAATTAAATGACATAAATTAGTATTTTACTTGTTTATCCTTAATAAATTGAATGAAATTTGTTCTAAAATAAGATTTTTGTAATGGCATTCTTAAGTAAATTCATACAAAAGGGAAGGTTAGTTAAGGGTATCTTATAAAGTGTACTCCCCAAATAATAGTATAGGATCTAACCACATAAAAATCAAAATTAATCCTGAGAAGTAATTTTACCACAAACCATTATCCTCTGATCACAAATTGAGCACAAAAGATAGTATTTAATAGGCTCCAAATTATCTTTTTGTTTTTCTCTTACTCTCACTCTTTTTCTTTTTGCTCTTATAATAAAATAAGTCTTTTTTTTTTCTTAAAGTAAAATTAAACTATTGAAAACAATAAACAAAATAAAATACACAAACGAAAATATGACATTAAGAGTTTGAATACATTAGGTGAAATATTGTGTAAACACGTGCATTATACATAAATATTGATATGTAGGGATAATACAATATATTAATTTTGTAAAAATAATATATAACATGTATTTATAAATGTATGTATATATATATAATAAAATAGTAAACTGAATCTACTAAAATCCCAAAAAAAAAGTAAAAAAACCAAATTTTAGAAGTCTTTTAAATCTATAATAATCATATTTATATTAAAACAAAATTAATTTCAAAAAATATCACGCGGTAGATAACAGACCAAATCCTAAAACTCTTTTAAATTTGTATAAATTATACTTATATTAAAACAAAAATAATATTCAAAAACTATCCCGCGGCGGAGCGCGGGTTTCCACCTAGTATATATAAAAATAAGGGTTTACTCTCTCCTTGTTAGTCCACCTGGTAATGTAATGTAAAAAAAAATCTAACTAAACCATAAATAACACATTAAAGTATATACCATTTAACTCACATTTTAATATAAAAACTTTTACATTAACTAAATTTCTCCACTCAATTTTATTAAACACACAATAAATTAAATTAAATTGTAACTCCCATAATTTTTTTTTTAAATTGTAACTCTCATCACTTCTCATCCTATAAATACTCATTCTCTCATTCACCCATTCTCTCATCCTCTTCCACTATATCTCAAATCTTAATTTTTGTTTTCTTGTTTTAAGGTGTGTTTTTTTGTTGTTTTGTTGTTTTATGGGTTAAAGAAAACAAATTAAATATTATTGTACAATTTTTGTTCTAAATTTTAATTTCAGAGACTATATGCCATATATCTTACATTGTTTTTTGCTTTTTTAAAAAGATTTATTTTCATTGTCTATTTTAGATTATCATCTTATAAATAATCATTCTCTTATCCTCTTCCACTATGTTCATGTATATTTTTTTATGTTGCTATAAGGGTTGAAATCAATGAAAAAATCATTGTAAGAATTTGATTCTAAATTTAGTTTAGATGATACTTATTTATTCTTTAATTTTTATATTTTTAATTTAAATTCACAGATGTAAAAGTAAAGTTTTCATGGATATAACAAAACTATCAAGTTTATTGGTGATGAAGAGTTTAAAATATCAATCCCAAATTCCAATCATCGCATAACAAGGAAATGAAGTTGAATAGATCAATCTCCATTATCTACTTTTGATATTTGATTATTTTTTTACATATTCATGTATTTGTTTTTTAATTATGCAATATTTAACAAAATAACTTAGTGTACTACATTTATCCAATAAACTTGCGTAAATAAATGAAATTTTTTTATGATAAATATTTGTTTTCAAAAATCAAAAGCCAATGAATTGTAAAATAACAATGTTCTTGGAAAGTACAATAATGCTCTCAAAGCTACTCACAAGGCTTAAAGTTTGTTTAAGAAAATAAAACTTAATGTAGTTTAGCATTTGGTCTTAATAATTGTTTTCTAGGAGACAAAAACATTCAAATATAATTTTTATGCTTATGAATATGGACAAAGGTTAATAACACTAAAATTCATTTACAAACATAGCATATTTTTAAAAGTAAAGCATATCTTTAAGTTTTAAAAACGGAGGTTGAAACACGTACCACAGTAAGATACATTGATGGCTTGAACAATTGGTGAAACAAGGAGGAGAAGAGAAATAGCGAAAGGAAGAATGGCGAAGATCCTCATCTTTCGGAAGCTGTAAGAGGAAGATGATGGATTGATGATCAAAGCAGCAAGCAGAGAGATTGTCACTCGTATTATTAATATCCAAATAATATTTTATAAGAATTTATAAGAAGTTTTGTTGCTCCATTAACACATTCAAACTAAGTCATCTTATATCTCCATATGTTGCTCGAAACCAAGGTAAGCTTTATCTATGTCTATTTTACTGAATAGGCTATCCATATGATTGCAACAAATTTCTTCGTAACAAAGTGAATGCGAGAACTTACAGGAGGAGTATAAGCTGGAAGAAGAACTTGAGAGTGACCAACAATGAAATCTCCGTTTTGTATAGGACAATCTGTCTCAATGCAGAGGTCATGATCCTCAGAGTAAACCTGCACTCGAAAGTATGAAACATCAATATGCAGCACCCCAAACGAAATCTCATGGCCTGTGTTCTGAAAGATGCAGGTGAAAGCTGCTTGCTTGCCAGGGACAATAGGAACATGAGATATAGTAATGTCTTTCACTAGTACTTGGTATTGTGCCCGCTCATCTACAATCAAATCAAGTCAGAATAAAAATCAAAAATTTCAGGGAAAAATCGAATTCTTACACCGAATAATATGAGTCAAAAGCGAAAAGCATCGAACTTTCTCAATTCGAATTCAAAGCCATCAAGAGGAGAAACGGAGGTTGAAACACGTACCAAAGTAAAATACATCGATGGCTTGAACAATTGGTGAAACAAGGAGGAGAAGAGAAATAGCGAAAGGAAGAATGGCGAAGATCCTCATCCTTCGGAAGCTGTAAGAGGAAGATGATATATTGATGATCAAAGCAGCAAGCAGAAAGAAGTAAAGCTATATTTTATATTTGGGTCTCTTGGGATTAGCGGCATTCACCTTCTCCCTCGGACTCTTGTTTCTCAAGTATAAGAAAGCTAAACAAACAATCCAATCAAACCAAGTCCATTTGAATCCGGAACACTCTGTCGTCTAAGTACGGCAATTTACGTCACTAACTAGCTACATGCTACTGTAAACATTTAAAAATATTGCTTACTAATGTACACCCCTTTGAAAAAAACTTGTCCGGACTAAAGACATCTAAGAAACATTTGCTAAAGGAAGCTAAAAGGTATGGATCTAAATGGTGACATGAATTTGAGAAATTTTGAAGAATTTCATTTTGGTCACATCATTTTACCAAATGAAAGTTGAGGAATGATTAAATAATATTTTTAAGTTCTAATGTTCTTTTTATTATTGTTGTTTAATAAATTATGAATAATTTCATATAATAAATCAAATTTTTTTGTATTCATGATTAATAATTTATTACATAAACTCTAAATATCTCATTTCATAGTAGAAGTTGTTACTAAAAATGGTAACATATTTTGGAGGAATTGTTAAGGAATTTTTAAGCAAAACATATTTGTTACATCAGTTGAATCTTGAGGAACTTTTTGAGGAATACTAATTGAAGAAATCATTGTGAAAAAAAGATTTCAAAACAATTTTCCAGTCATAACTAATACACAACTAAATGATACGAATAGAGATAATTCTTTTTACTATAGATTCTCATACAAACACTTCAAAACGAATTTTCGATATTTATGGTACCAGATTGTAGTATCTTTCATATGTTATAGTATTTATATACCAATAGAGTTAACTACACAAATCATTACTTAAACTAATATATGCATAATCACTTCAACTCAACGACGGACCAATATATAGAGAGATAGTTTATGTGAGACAATATTCATCAAAATATGAATTGATTTTAACGTGCGGTAGAGAATTTGACCAAAACCATGTGGAAAACAACTAGAAACAAAATAAAAAAATTGTCACTACTTATTGGGTTATATATATTACATCTTCTATAATAAAGTAGGATTTTCTTCTAAACGCATGCTACGAGAAGCTAACATGTGTCATCTCTCCTTATGACATGTGTCTTTTTATTTATTTTATTTGAATACCATTATTTAGTTTTTCAACAAAAAAACATCATTATTTAGTTTCGTTAGATTTAATTATGTATATCATTATTAAATAAATAATCTAAAAAATATTTTTGTCCTAATTTTTAAACATTCAAAAAAAAAAAACTAAATTCATTTACTCCAAAATAAGGTATAGAAGATTCTAATGTTAATTAAAACTTTTGATAATGTTATTTTCTTGAAAATGGAATGTAGCTTTTGTATCTATATACATTTTTGGAGTACACTTAGCAAATAAATCCTAGAGTTGCTAAGTATTTACAAAGAATGCCATTGGTTTTAATTCTAAAAATTTGAAAAATTTAATAAAAGATATTAACACAACTATTTGGATCCTAAATTATCTCCTAAGACTTATCTTTCCATACCTATATTCATTCATTTGCTAATTGCTATTAAAAAAAAAAACAATTAATGCTAACGTTGATATAAAAAAGCTAATCTTATAGAAAACAGTGTTTCCAAAAGTTGTAACTAAAATCAATATTGTTTCTATATTAATTTGTGGCATTAAAATATAATAAATGGTAGATTCCTAATATCAAAAAATGGCTGCTCGGAGAAACAAGCAACGTTACGTCATCAAGTTCGTTATTTTCTTGAGGGAGAAGAGAGATTAATATAACGATGACGAAGAAAAAACTTGAAGAGTTGAAGATCTCATGAGAAACATTTGCGGGTTTGTAGAATGGTTTTTTTGCGGGTTAAAAATCTTTAAACCCGTTGTGGGACGGACCTAGCATAGCGGGTTTGAACTATTAAACCAACAATAAAACTATTAACTTATTGATTTATATTTTGGATTTGTAATCATGGTGTCGAATTAATTAAGTTACAAATGATATCCATATTTATTATACAAACTACAATATATTATACAAACTAACACCTTCTTACTTTTAAACCAACTACTTTTAATTATTAAATTTCTAAACAAAAATATTTAATTTGTATATACATCAAACAAACAAAAAATACACTAACCTACTATATATCACTATATTATTCTACAAAACAGATTAAATCTAGAATTTTATATTTTATCCAATAACAAATTTAATATAATAAAATAAACACATTTTAAGTTATAAACTATAAGTATAAAACATAAGAAAACATGTGTTTCGTTCCACGGGTCCAAACAAAAATATAAATTAGTTAAACGAAAAATAAATAATGAAAATTAAAAAACCAAATAAGCTGAAAATTATTATCTAAAATACAATAACTAAAAGTTTGTCATATGGTGTACTGTCGATTAAAATTTCGTGATTTTGATGGGTCAGGTCAAGATCTTATTCTATAAATATGTAGCCATATAAAGCTAGATAATACTATATTTAACTATAAGAGCTGCGTCTTATTAAAAAAATCATACACGATCAATCGGTTTTATATAAAAAAATTAACATCAATAACTTTTTAAAAAAATTATAGCCCCGCGGTGTACCGCGGGTTCAACTCTAGTAGTGTACATGTTGTAGTAGTTTATTTAAGGGAGACTCACAAAAATGCCATTTTTTCAATACCCCTTTTCAAAAATGCCCCCTTTGGCTATCTATTTTTAAAAATACCCCTTTTTATGTACAAAATGACTAAATTACCCTTCTTTTAATAAAAGATATCACAAATATATAAGGAAATATAACAAAATTAGGTCCACAAAATACAAAATATTTTTTGGCGGGAAAAGTGATCCCGCAATTTTTCCCGCCAAAACACTTGTAAAAACTTGTAAAACCTTTAAAATACCTTGTAAAATTTTCCTGTAAAAATTTTTCCCGCCAAAAAATTAAATTTTTTTTTGCGGGAAAAGTGATTCCGCAATTTTTTTGGCGTTAAATTTTTGGCGGAAAAAATTTACAAGGTATTTTAAAGGTTTTTTTACAGGGTATTTATAAGGTTTTACAATGTATTTTAAAAGGTTTTACAACGTATTTATAAGGTATTTATAAGATATTATAAGATTTTACAAGCTATTTTATAAGGTTTTACAAGTTATAAGGTTTTACAAGTTTTTTATAAGGTTTTACAAGTTATAAATACCTTCTAAAACTTTATAGGTACCTTGTAAAACCTTTTAAAATACATTGTAAAACCTTACAAAACACTTGTAAATACTCTGTAAAACCTTTAAAATACCTTGTAAATTTTTCCCGCCAAAAAAATTGCGGAATCACTTTTCCCGCAAAAAAATTTTTTTGGCGGGAAAACTTTTTACGGAAAAATTTTACAAGGTATTTTAAAGGTTTTTACAAGTGTTTTGGCGGAAAAATTGCGGGATCACTTTTCCCGCCAAAAAATATTTGTATTTTGTGGACCTAATTTTGTTTCAAATAAGGGTAAAATGGTCATTAAAAATTAAAAGAGGGCAAACTTAAAAATGGACTCTCAAAGGAGACATTTTTGAAAAGGGGTATTGAAAAAGGGGCATTTTTAACAATTTCTCTTTATTTAAATCAAAGAAATATAATAGATGTGGTAGAAGTTTAAATTGTTAATGTCTTACATTAAATTGTTAATCACTATTGTTAATTGCTTACATTGAATTGTAATCACTATCTCCATCAATATAATTTACAGAAATATTTAAAAGCTATACAATATCATCTCATATTGTAACTTCTAGACATGCGTCTTGCTCTATTCTTTTAAAAAAAATATCAAAAGTCAATTAAAATATACAACATGCGTTAATATATAACTCCACAATTAGTTTTCTAATCTAAAGAACTAATGTGGTTGTGCCGTTTTTAATTATACTTGGATGAATCATATATCTAATATAATATAAAAATAAGGTTTCACTCTCTGTCTTGTTAGTCCACCTCGCAATGTAAGATAAAAAAAATCTAACTAAACCATAAATAACACATTAAGTATATACATTTAACTCACATTTTAATATAAAAATTTTTACATTAACTAAATTTCTCCACTCAATTTTATTCAACACACAATAAATTAAATTAAATTGTAACTCTCATAATTTATTTTTTATATTATAACTCTCATCACTTCTCATCCTATAAATACTCATTTTGTCATTCTCTCATTCACCCATTCTCTCATCCTCTTCCACTATATCTAATATCTTAATTTTGTTTTTGTTTTCTTGTTTTAGGTGTTTTATTGTTGTTTTTGTTGTTTCATAAGTTAAAGAAAACAAATTAAATATTATTGTAAAATTTCGTTCTAAATTTTAATTTCAGAGACTATATGCCATATATCTTACATTGTTTTTTGCTTTTTTAAAAATATTTATTTCCATTGCCTATTTTAGATTATCATCTTATAAGTAATCATTTACTTATCCTCTTCCACTATGTTCATGTATATATATTTATGTTTCTATAAGGGTTGAAAAATCAATGAAAAAATCATTGTAAGAATTGATTCTAAATTTAGTATAGATGATACTTATTCTTCTTTAATTTTTATATTTTTAATTTAAATTCACAGATGTAAAAGTAAAGTTTTCATGGCTATAACAAAACTTTCAAGTTTATTGGTGATGAAGAGTTTAAAATATCAATCCCAAATTCTAATCATCGCATAACAAGAAAATGAAGTTGAAAAGATCAATCTCCGTTATCTACTTTTGATGTTTGATTGTTTTTTACATATTCATGTATTTTTTTTAATTATATAATATTTAACAAAATAAAGTTGTGTAATACATTTATCAAATAAACTTGCGTAAATAAATGAAATTTTTTATGATAAATATGAGTCTTCAAAAATCAAAAGCCAATGGATTGTACAATAGCAATGTTCTTGGAAAGTACGCTCTCAAAGCTACTCACAAGGCTTAAAGTGTGTGTAAGAAAAATAAAACTTAATGTAGTTTAGCATTTGGTCTTATAATTGTTTTCTAGGAAACAAAAACATTCAAATATAATTTTTATGCTTATGAATAGAGACTAAGGTTATAACACTAAAATTCATTTACAAACATAGCATATTTTTAAAAGTAAAAGCATATCTTTGAATTTTCTTCTTGTTCTGTGTTACAACTAAACCATCATGGTAGTGGCATTGAAAGGTTTTGCTCCATACTCAAACAAAAACAACTTAAATGAATCTCAAACGAATATATACACTGAACACATTAAAAATAGATGTGAAAATTAAAGAAAGAATAAAATATACATGTAGTCAAAATAAAATAAGAGGATGTGAATCCTATATGTTTACCCACTTTTAAAACCTTGTCATGAGTTTAAGTAAGGTTAGTTGTTGGTATATAATTTTTTTTGCATTGCTAGATTGTCAAACAATAGAAATTTGGTGTTAATCGTGTTATCCAAAATCCGTAAGTGCATCTAATTAGACCTATATTATAACAACAGTAAAAAATTAGCAAAAATCAAACTGACAAATTGTAAAGAAAAAAAGAAAAAAAAAAGTTTCGGTAGAGCATACACAATCATAGTCACATCTCGTGATTTGGAGTAAACTTGTTCCGCATCTCTTTCTCTTCTTAATTATCTTGTTCGAATACAAATCAATTGGTGTGTGATTGAAGTTGACGAGAGATCATAACATTAACATTGATAATTTCTTTCTTTGTTTCATTAGGCAAAGGATTTCAATTCCAAACGGCAATTCGTATACCACTTAGAAACTTTCAACATTGGTGGTATTTTGGTTATATCGTTGTTGTTTCTTAGTAAAGTACGTATGCAATTATGTTTGACATCAGAGCCCATGAAATATGGAATTCGGGTTACCTATTTTCGGACGTACCTGTCAATAGGTATAATAGAGCTAACTCAAACACGTACGACCCAGGTGTATGTAAAATTTTTATTTCACTTTTAGGCTTTTTCCATATTTTTGTTTATTGTATAAAATTAAACAATTAATCTAAACTCTTTTTCTATAAAGCTCTGATGCACGTTTACGACTTAGACACAAAGGATTTGATTTGCCTAGAACAAATGCTTTACGTGCAATGAGAAGATACGATATGATATATTGAAAACATTTGTAACGCCCCGACCGTCTCTACCAGTAGGCCCCACATCCTTTCTCGGGCCCATGGGCCCACTCCTGTCCGACGGCCGGTCCGCTACGTCCGGGAGGCTTTAGAGACTTGTTTACCGACCCTACAAATCACCACATGATCTTTCCCCGTATTTTGTCCTCACTCACACTACTCCGACAATCACTTCCCGGAAGGTCACCCATCTTGAAACTACTCCAGCCCAAACACGCTTAACTGTGGAGTTCTCTCAGGACGGTTGACCGAAAAGATAAGTGCACTTTGGTGACATAGGTGGCCAAATCAATTGTTTTAAACCTCTCCGCATGCACCACCATATTCCTGAAATCGGAGTGTTACAATTCACCCCCACTAACAGATCGCAACGTCCTCGTTGCGCACCAAGACCGTCACCCCCTACCGTGTGAGTCCTCTTGACTCCACACTCGTCTGGGTTCGGCTCTGATACCACTTGTAACGCCCCGACCGTCCCTACCAGTGGGCCCCACATCCTCTCTCGGGCCCATGGGCCCACCCCTTTCCGACGGCCGGTCCGCTACGTCCGGGAGGCTTTTAGAGACTTGTTTACCGACCCTATAAATCACCACATGATCTTTCCCCGTGTTTTGTCCTCACGGAAGGTCATCCATCCTGAAACTACTCCAGCCCAAACACGCTTACCTGTGGAGTTCTCTCAGGACGGTTGACCGAAAAGATAAGTGCACTTTGGTAACATAGCTGGCCAAATCAATTCTTTTAAACCTCTCTGCATGCACCACCATATTCCTGAAATCGGGGTGTTACAACAATCCCCCCCCAAACCTCACTTCTCAACGTAATATGTGTCATTTAAAAAAACAAAATCTTATGCTTCGTGGTAGAGAAAAGAAAAGAATTTTCTCTCCAATGTTTTAAAAATGTCAAGATTATATGCTATAAATTGTGTTTCTTTTTTAACGAAGAGAAGAAAACTGTATTTTAATTATAAAAAAGCAAATTGTATTTTATTATCATATATTAAGAAAATAAAACTATGTTGTTAACTTTGTGATGGTTTTGGTGTATTTTTATATCATGGTAAATCATGATTAGTAGTATTTTTCTATGCATAAAAAATCTCTGTAAACAAAATTAATTTGAGATCTTTTATTTGTGTTCGAGTGTCTTAAGGAGAAATATGTGAAGGTGGAGTAAAATGATTACATATATTATACTTTACCAAAATTTAGAGTAACAATTTGTTTATTAATTTATTTGGATATATTTCCATCATTAAAATTTCATCAAACACATTTTTGTTTGGAATCGAATGTCAAAATAAACAAATGTATGATGATGTGCAATAAAATCATTTCTTGATTACCTTCATTTTTATTTAGTTTAATTCCATATTTGACTTGCTTTCATGTAAGTTCTATTCAAAAATTAACAATAATATTTGTTTTGTAATTTTGAATCCAAATTTCAAATCAAATTCTTATTTTTCAAAGATAATTTTGTTTAGGATTTTTTGTTTATTTAATACAAATTTTTAAGGTTTATCATCCAAAAGACCATATAAATAAGAACCCTTCTTAAATATTTTTAAATTGATCATAAACTATTTTTTGAAAAAGATCTCTAAAGGTTTTGAAATTTTTTTAAGGAAAATTATATTTGGTATTTTGTTATATTTCCCAAAGAAATAGTATTTTGGAAACAATATAAATATATTATTGATAGATTTTTTGGTCTAAGTATTTTAGGACTTTTGAACATAAGTGATTTATTATTCTTTTTGACGTAATGTTTTTAAAAACTTACTATGTGAAACGAAGTGTTAATTAGGTTTAATTAAATATAATATGTTGTAATGGCTTTGTGAAATATTTATAGATTAGAATTCGTTTCTACATTTTTTTGTTGTGCATGTTTAAGTTTTATTGATTTTTTAAATTAACTTAGTTCCAATTAATTTATTCATGAAGATTCATGTTTTTCTCCTCATTTTTTGTTTTCTTATTAGTTTTACATTAGGTTTTTAAGAATAAAAATGGTAGGAGATGTTTGATAATTATGAATTATATGTTTTTGATAACATGAATGTCGAGCTACATACAATTTCTATGTTTATTTTAAATATACGATGTCAAGTGATATCTAAAACCGTTTGAATTGATTGGGAAATATGGAATATGAAGAACTATAAAGTTGGTGTAGTAAAAATATAAGAATTTATGTGTTCGTGTACCTATTATAAGAGACAAACAAAAAAGGTTCATGATATTTGTGTCATAATGGTCCCAAATCTGGATGAACTTTATGAGACCAAAAATTATATATCATATTTTCAAATATTGTTGAAACATAAAATTCATAAGGATTTATGACCGTTTTCATCTTCAATCCACCTTCATTTTCATTGCCCGGCTGCCGTGGTCTTTATCTTCTTCATCGTATTCATCGTCAATTCGCCGTCGTCATTAGCCGCCGTCGAAGATTGTAATTTTTTCTTTTTGATTTTAGGGTTTTCGACTTCTCGTGAGTGGATGAAGAAGACTTTGGATTTTTGTAAGTGCAAATTTGTAATGTTATCGTACGAAAGCAATTTTTTATAAAAGATTTTGAATCTATACTATTAATTGGGAATCACTAAAACATAAAAAAAAAATTTAGTTGTAAAATATTACATAGAATGCCATTAAGATAATTGTATTCAAAAAGTTAACAAAAAAAATTGTAAGAAGGTATAAAATAATTTGAAAGTAGTATATTCCATTGACACAATCAAAACTAATATTTCATATATATATTTCGGAAATATAGGAGAATATTCCAATACAAAAATCAATATAATTAACAAAATTTCCATAACTAAACGGATTAATAGTATAACTATTCCATAACTACGTAAAATCTATAATTATGCCTATTAAATTAAATTTAGTCACCATAATTAATAATATACACCAAACTAAATTTTAGAAGTATCGGGATATATCGCATAGGGACGGGACCTGAACAGGAAATTCAAAATATTAATATACAAAAAATTAATTCTCTATAATTCAGAAAATATCGGATATGGGATGAGAACGGGTATTTAGAAAATGAAAATTAGTATCCAAACTATTCTCGATAAAATCCGGGACGAGAATTATGGGTAACGGGACGGAAACCAAAATTTTAGGTAGCTATATTCAATTCTCAAACTCTCACTAACATTAAATACACAAACGAAAAATACATGAAATATGGGTTTTTCATCAAAATTTCATACCTATTTCCTTATCCGTTGGACTAAAATATACAATCCTAAACGAATAATTTTTTTAAAAACGGTTATGAGATAGAAAGATCCTGACATATATGGGACGGGACGGGCATGTTTTCTATCTCGAAATGGACATACCACATTTCACTCATTATCTTTTTTTAGTGTAGTTGTCTCTTACTCATAACAAAACAAATTTGATTACTCTTTTTGTCTAAACCAAATTGAAACCAAACCGAATACTAAACTGATATGAATTTGGATTATAAATGTTATACCAAACAAATAAGTCTGTTACCATATTCCCGCACGAACGTGCGGGTCTGACTCTAGTACAATATAGACAAGAAAGATATTTTTTTTTTCTCTATTGTAACACTTTCATTTATATGTTGTTGTTAGTGAATATGTTCAAATAATATATTAGGTTAATGAATCTAAAATAGTATAATATTTCAAAAAAATATTTTAGTTATACTGTTTGGATTTTTTCTTTAATTTAATAGCTTTGATATGAAATATCAAAATCAAATTTTTTTTATCTCTTTTTTGTTTATATCAATAGCAAAGATTCTCTGAATTTACAAATCCCTTTAATTGGTTTACCTACCTATTATACCAAAAAAAATAATTAAACATATTGGTAATTTCTTTATCTAATACTCCCTCTATTTTTAATTACATATATTCCTAGACTTTTCACACGTATTTAGAAATCATATTAAAAATTGATTATAAATGCATTTTTTGTGATTTTCAATTTTCTATAACTCTAAACCAATAGAATTTAATTATTTTTCTTGAAATTTACAATTTATCATCAATATCTAATAAAGAAATACATAGATAACTTAAAATTACATTATTTTCTTCTAGAAAATAGATTAATAAGAAACAAAAAGAATATATATATATAATTAATTATTATCTTAATTAAAATTATGATTAAATAAGTTTATGATTTGTTTACGACAACACGATATATCGCCTAATAGAACATTAACTTAATCAACAACCGTCCAAATTATAAATACACTTAAGAGGTACACAGAAAACGATAACGACTTGGTTCCAATCATAAAATTACCTCACTGTATTTGCATCCACACAACTTTGATTATTTTTAAAGTTATGTACTCCCTCTGTTCCATGAATTGATGTTGTGGGTTTTCTTTTTACTCCACAAAGATTGATGTTTTACATCAATATTATTATTAATTTTATTTGTGACCAATAGAGAGAAGAGAGAAGTAGAATTAATATTACTAAACAAAAATAATTATAAAAAAAAAAGTATAAAAGTTAATTTTTCTTAATTGATGTGAAAAACCCACAACATCAAACTTCATGGAACAGAGGGAGTATCTATTTCTCTCAGGTTTGAGATCAGGAGAAAAAAAAAGAGAATTGTGAAAATATATGTTCATTAAATACTAAGACTCTTAAATAGAATTGAAAACTAGACTATATACAAAGCCCTAAAACAACTAAATCAATCTAGTTATGAGGTGAGCAACGTATGTTTCATGCGTTATAATGTTCTTAATTTTAAACCAGGTTCGAAGTAGAACTATATAAACCTCATTTTAACTTTGATTGTATACTAGCAAAATTTAAAAGTTTTATTGCATAATATAGTACTACTTAAGCCCGACTCGTTCACAAGGCAACCAAAGCATCTGCTTTAGACAACCAAATATCAGACAAATTTTAGGGCCACATGTTCAATCGTTTTGTTTTAGTTAGTTGGTTATACACTTTATTAATGAGTCACATTTGTTGGATTCGATCACTGTAGATCACTTTCATTTTAGGGAAAATGTTTGGAGTGGGAGAGAATTGTTTTTAATTCATTTATTAATTTTTGGTTTAATTCCTTCTTTTTTTTAACAACAAATCTCTTAACATTTGATTTAACTTGGCTACTAAGTATTATATGACATTCTTAACTTTTTCATATTGTTTTACATTGTTAAAGTATCCAATAACTTTCACTAATGTTTTTTAAGAAATGGTCTCCTATAGCCCTAAATGAAGTTTTTGTGACAAAAATAGCATCCCCAAGTTTATTTGACAAAAATAGCACTCATTTACCTTGTTTTTGATTTTTAAAAAATTAATTAAATTAATTAAGATAATAAACAGAGAATAGCACCGAAATTAAACACATTGACAGAGAGTTTACAATTGCGCTTTCCGGTGAAGCTTCCGATCTCGGATTTTCAATTCTGGTGAAGATTATGATCTCTGATATTCAATCCCAATGAAGCTTCCGATCTCATAGCTTCAATCAGGTCATAGATCGATTACCATTTCTCTAATTTCTTCTTCTTCTTCATAAATCGTGTTGAATGTGGAATCTGAGTGTAGCTTTAAGAATCGTGATGGTCTATTGGTTTGTGAGTGTAGCTCTAGATTCATGAGTGTAGCTCTCGATTTTGTTGGTGTGGATATAGTTTGGTCCTCGATTTGATTATCTTCTCTAAGATTTCAATTAAAGAAGAAAAGATTAAGCTTTCAGGCGATGAAGCCGGCGAGAATATTGGAGTTTGAGATCTGGTGAAGAGACGGAGACCTAGAGAACGGATGGTTCCATCAACACCTACGGCAAGAGCTTATGGGTAAAACAGCCACTCGTTGCTTAATTATGTTAGATAAAATCTATGAAGCAATGATATGTTGCTTAGTTGGATTAGATAGATTCTTATATTGAAGCAATTTTAAGAAGTTGAATTTTGTGAAATGTGAAGGTTTTTCAATTTTAGGAGCTGCTCTTGCTTGGAGAACTGTTAAAGAATCTACCTATAGGATGGTAAATGGGACACCAATGACACAAGACAATCAACCTAAACTATCTTCTTTCATGTCTAAAGAAAATGCAGAAAGATTAGCTCTTAGATTGTGTGAAATGCGTGGAGCTGCTCTTAAAGTTGGGTAAATGTTGAGTATACATGATGAGAGTCTTGTTCCTGCTCTAGTAAACACCAAATCCGAACCATTGTCGTTTTTTGGAAGTTGAAGCTGTGTGGAAATTGTTTTGGGATCAAAGAGATTGTTGAGGAAGATATTTGTTAAGAGTAAGAGAAGTTTGTTGTCGTCATAGATTCCGATCGTCGGCTTTTTTGGCTTGTAGTTTGCAGGTTTTGCACAAGTATAATCTTCAGCTAATGCTTCGTCAAGAGTTTGCTACAATTTTCCATCGTCATGCAAATTACAAATTCAAAGTTGGCTACATAGATGCTGGTTTTCGAAATTTAGGTAGACCTTCCTAAACTTCAAGGACGTCTTCCTAAACGTTATGAAATCCTTCCTAAATTTTTAAAAATGTGTTTTTGAGTCTCTTTATTTATGTTTTGTAATGTATCAAATATTACTCCATTAATGAGGGGTAATGTACATACAAATTACTAATCCAAAGTTGGCCACATAGAGGTTGTTTTCAGAAATTTAGGTAGACCTTCGGAAACTTCAATGACGGCTTCCTAAACATTATGAAATCCTTCCTAAATTTTTAAAAATGTGATTTTGAATTTCTTTATTCATGTTTTGTCAAAATGTATCACATATTACTCCATTAGTGAGGGGTATATCACAAAGTCATCAATGTCCCAACTTTAGGAAGGCCTATCGAAATTTCAAAGAGTTCTTCCTAAATTATTTCATGTTTATATACACTTATTTCTATGATATCTTCGAATAAATAGCTTGGCTTATTGGTTACATGCTCTAGTACAAAACCCAATGTCTTGGGTTCAATTCCTTGTGAGGGTGTGTATATACTTTTTTCTAATGAAGGGCTTCCTGAAATTCGAGAAATCCTTTTTAAATATCTAGAGGAAGGATTTGATAAGCGTTTCTATTTTTTTCTCTATCTTTGATAAGCGTTTCTATTTTTTTTCTCTATCTTTTATAAGCGTTTATTTGTTGATTTGAACTCATCTTTAACTAGCTTGTATAGCTTGTCAAGCTTCTCCATAAGTGACTCGCCTGAAAAAGATGGTCTCACTGCCTCCTTGTTACAGAACAAATAAGATTTCATAGTAACTTCTTCCATAACAGCTCCAACGTCAAGTGATCCTCTTCTCCAATCTCCAGCTTTCATTTTGTAGCCTTTGCACATAAGGTCGACTAGCAAACTCATTTCTGGATCATTTTCGTCTTTTGATGAGACTGTATCTTCAGGATCATTCGGTATTGAAGGTAAAATGCAAATTATATTTAGCTGCACAAAAAATAGAATGTTCAGGATATCAGTAAATAAGTTTTTAAGAAAGCCTTCACGAATTTTCAATAGTTATATCACCAACATCATATTTAGGAAGACCATCCCGAATTACTATAAATCTTTTCCGAATCAGGAAGACCATCCCAAATTACTATAATTCTTTCTCGAATTAGTCTAAATAAGTTTTTAGGGAAGTCTTCATGAATTTTCAATAGTTATATCACCAACATCATATTTAGGAAGACCATCCCGAATTACTATAAATTCTTCCCAAATCAGGAAGACCATCCTAAATTACTATAATTCCTTCCCGAATTAGTCTAAATCCTTCATGAAAGTTAAAAGCAGAGACTGAAGTTACAAGGCTTGATGCTTCAATGTTTTCTGGAAATTCTTCTTATTCTGATCATTATCTACATCAAGAGAACCAATCTCAATCACAACATCAATTCTATCACTTAATTTCCCCATTTAAATCGAAACAATCAAAGATCAAACCCAAGGAAAAATCGGATCATTCGTAGCTATAGAAGGAAGCGAAATCATAATATTCATCACTACCAGAATCAACTATACTCAGAATCCATTTCAAATGTGGACAATATTTGTTGTCCACCAAATATCATCTCAATCTGTTGTTTCAAATGTGGATAACATTTTTTGTTTACCAAAATTTTTCGAAATATGTTGTTTCAAAGTTTTGTCCACCAAATATCTGATATTTAGGTATTTTCTTTTAATGGTACTAGGAATTAGGACCCCCGCAATGTTGCGGGGGAAATACTTCAAAAATCGTTTAAAAAAATATCAAACGAATAATCATAATGAATTGTAATAATTTAGAATTTTTTAAATAATAAATCAATATATATTTTACTAAAATTATGATAAAGAAAACTTTCATAAGCATTTATTAAGTATATTCGTATTAGAAAAACATTAATTTGTAACTAAAAGTTATTCTCAAGTGCAAAAGACATCAAATAAACCAAAGGTTACAACGGTTTGATAAATAAGCCAAAATGTTCATTAGTTCGACTAATAAACCAAATACTACTATGTTAAATTAAACGCTAACAACAATTCATTTAAATATATTTTAGTAATTAATTTTTTTAAATGACAAACTTTAACCTAGAGACGTGAACGTATATATCAAAGATTACAATGGTTCCTAAAACAAAACCAAAAATTGCAATGATTCGCCAAATAAACCAAATATTGCAACAATTCAATTAAATGGTTACATTTTAGTAATTTAAGATTAAGAACTAAAAATAACAATTTATAAAAAGTTACACCGACGGTAGATAATTAAATATTATAACGACTTATAAAATAAACTTAAAGTTGCAATCGTTTGTGAAATGCACTAAATATTGCAATGATTCAACAAAATGATTGCAACCATTTTACGAAAAATTACGATAAAAAGATGCAACTGTAGAAAATATTTATTCAAATTGTAACTTTCTCAAACAACATAACGTAAAATATATATTTTTAGTTTAATAAAAAATAAACGAAATGTTGTGATATACCAAAAGTTGCAACAGTTCGTCAAATAAACTAAAGGTTACAACGTTTCTTAAAACAACACAAAAAGTTGCAATGATTTGTCAAATAAACCAAATGTTTTAATGGTTCAATTAAACAGTTACAATCTCATTTAACTACATTTTGGTAATTAAAAATAATAATTTATGAAAAGTTATACTGAAAGATGCAACGGTAGATAATTAAATGTTATAGCGATTTATAAAATAAACCAAAAGTTGCAATTGTTCGTGAAATAAACTAAATATATAAACCAAATGTTGCAATTGTTCGTGAAATAAACTAAATATTGCAATTATTCGAATAAGCGGTTGCAACTATTTATGAAGAGTAACAATAAAAAGCACCAACCGTAGAAGACATTCGGATTGCAATTTTCTAAAAAAAACATAACCGTAAAATAAAAATTTTCGTTTTTTTTTAATAACAAAAAGTTACGATTAAAAGACACAACCGTTCACAAGTGCAAATGACATTTATTGAGATTGCTATTATATATAGATTTTCGTTATTGTCTGTCTGCCATAAAGTGGAAAAATTGCACATAGTGAAAAACAAATGTTTTGCGGCAATTTCTGTAAGTATTGCTACAGTAAGTGGCACGTTAGACCAAAATCCCTAACTTAAATCTTAATAACAATTTTAAAATGGCAAAACAGTAAATAAAGTAGGGCAAAGTGGGAAAACACCACTCGACAAATATAATTTTTCTTGTGTCTTGGACAAAAAGCTTGATTCAATTCCATTCCTTTTTGTTAATAAACACATCTCTGATTCAACTCCGGCGAATTCAGAAGATCGAAGAAGATGAGTAGAGGAAGCGGCGCTGGTTATGATCGTCACATCACCATCTTCTCACCAGAAGGTCGTCTCTTTCAAGTTGGTCAGTACTCTCCGATTCCCACACTCAAATTCCTTTTCGAGCTCTGAAAAAACTGACTTTGCTTTTGTAGAATATGCCTTCAAGGCCGTGAAAACAGCTGGTATTACTTCAATCGGAGTTCGTGGGAAAGATTCCGTTTGCGTCGTTACCCAGAAGAAAGTTCCGGTGAGTGAATCTCACTTTTCATTGTCTCTCGCTTTTAGGGTTTGTTAAAGTTTGCATCTTTTATTGAACCTTTAGGGTTTCTAGTAGATTTAGGATTGTTGGTGTATCTTACCCATTAGGGTTTTTGTTTTTGGATTGGGACAGGACAAGCTTTTGGATCAGTCTAGTGTTACACATCTGTTCCCGATTACCAAGTACATTGGATTGGTAGCTACTGGCATTACAGGTTTGTATTGTGACCTTTTGTCTTCTCTTAAGCTGTAGAGTTTATTGCTCTTGGTGGTAATTTAAAAATGTGAATTTCATTTTCAGCTGATGCAAGGTCTTTGGTCCAACAAGCAAGGAATCAAGCAGCTGAATTTCGGTTCACTTATGGATACGAGATGCCTGTCGACATTCTTGCTAAATGGTTTTAAGTCGTTTCTTTTTTTCAAATCGGTCTTTAGCTTCTTCGTGGAGGCTGGCGTATAGTTATTGATCTGTCTAGCTCTCCTGTGATAACTGGCGTTGCTGATAAATAACTATTTTGCTTACAGGATAGCGGACAAGTCACAGGTCTACACTCAACATGCTTACATGAGACCCCTTGGAGTTGGCAAGTTTGCTATCTTTTTCTTTTCTTAAGACCAATCTAGACATTAGTGCGTACATCTGTTTGATGAATTTTATTAGCTGACAAAAGGATTGTTCTTGTTGTGTCTCTTTGTGAAGTTGCTATGGTAATGGGCGTTGATGAAGAGAATGGTCCCTTGCTTTACAAATGTGACCCAGCTGGACATTTTTACGGTCACAAGGTATTATCACTCTTAGCTTATGCTTTAACTAAACTTGTCTTCTAATACTTACTGTTTTGATTGCTTTACTGGCCTGCATCAACATTTGTTGATAACATACCTGAATAACATGTTCTTACAAGCATATTGACATACACTACTTACTGCTTGTGATTAACATATAAGAAAATGTCTCAGTCAATATGTCTTTGTGATAAGCATAAACGTAACTAGTATGATAGAAGTGGGTTGGTCATAATTGCGGAGAGTTATGGTTATTTGGGTTGTTTGTGGTAAGCCTTTTGGGCTTTGGGATAGTTTGGGTACTCTATAACATAGCTTAACTTTCACTTTTGTTCTTTGTATCCGGTTGCTCCTTGGTTCATTGGTTACTTGTTTTCATTTGAAGATTTACAGAGAAGAATAAATGAAAAAAATTTCAGTCCTGTCTTTCTCATTCACTGGTCTTAACACTTTTTAGGAATCTTATGTATTTAGGTTTTTAAGCATCGTGCTCATTTAGGATATTCAAAATTTTATTTTCTCTCTCAAAAGTCATAGATACTTCATATGGGAGTGCCATGTAACTGAGAAGCAGCTAATAAATAAGCAACTATATTCATGCAGGCAACTAGTGCTGGTATGAAGGAACAAGAAGCAGTCAATTTCTTGGAGAAGAAAATGAAAGAAAACCCAGCTTTCACATTTGATGAAACCGTGCAGGTAAATTATTTGCATCAACTTCCATATTTTGCCTGTTTATGTTCGAATGTGGTAACATATTTTCATTTGCCGGGTGATTACTTGTTCTGTTACTTTGTAGATACATAAGGGTTCAGTCTTTGGACTGTAATATACAAATCTATTAATATTCTAGATGCAAGTACCAAATGCACATTGTTCTGCACGTTGATATTCTTATACTTTTGTAGACTGCTATATCCGCTTTGCAATCTGTTCTTCAAGAAGACTTCAAGGCTACTGAGATTGAGGTATACAAAACTCTTCTCATATACCCATTTTTTTTGCCTGGCAGGTTTGCAATAGTTATTGTATAATTTGTGGTTGATATATCTTATCAAACCGGTTGGTGGAATGATAGGTAGGAGTGGTGAGAGCAGAGAACCCGGAATTCCGTGCATTGACAACGGAGGAGATTGAGGAGCATTTGACAGCCATTAGTGAACGAGACTGATCGTTTTAGTGAAACAAGTGTGAGTGACGTTTATTTGCTTCGCTTCTATCAGACATTCCGCTAAGTGACCACTCTCCATCAATCTTTTGTTTGGTCTTCCTTAATTTGATTTACTTAGCAAACCCTCGAAACTTGAAAAACAAAAAAAGCACTGTTAAGGCTGTGAAAGCATCCGTGTCTTTTGACTTTTCAGAAATGACACCAACTTCAGTCATATCATCACTTTCTAGCTTTTTCTTTTTATCGTAGCAGTTCTTGTGTCTTCGTCTTCACCAGTTGTTCAATATTTCAAGAAACTCGAATTTGGTTAAGGTTTCAGTTGTTAGAAAGGGAGGGATCATTCTTACTATTCAAATTGAGATCTCTCTTTTTTTTAATCAAACTGATCAACTTCAATCCTGATAGTTGCATTGCAAAATTATATGTTGTTTTGATAGCAGTTGTTGAATATTTTTTGCATCTGCATAATGCTTGCAACACCCAAAATCACTCCTACAATCAACAACTTAGTCGCAATTTTTTCACTATTTCTTATAAAAGAATTCAACTTGAGAAAGTAGAATAAGCAAAGAAATTAACTGAGTGTCAAGAAGACAAACACAATTCTTTCTACCCGAGTTCAGCAGGCATAACAAACCAAACCCGAACCAACCCCAAAAAGGCAAAAACCCAATCATGATCGGGTCTGGGTTCTAGAGAAATATCCAAACGGGTCTTAGAGACTAGGTACTTCAGGTTTTGAGTAGTACCCGAAATTCGACTTTTTTTTTATCGGGTATTTTGAATACTTTTGAGTACTTCTGAATAGATTTTTTCGGGTAATTTCAGATATGTCGGGTATCGAGTCAAATCCGATCCGAACTAAACCCGAAAGAAGCCGAACTTAAGCTGACCCAAAAATTAATAATATCTAAATGAACTTATGAGTGATACCGAAAATCCGAAAAACTCGACCCGAACCCGAACGCCTAGACCTTAGTTCAGCTATCTTGATTTGCGATTCGTACGTTATTTTGGTTAGGCCTAGTCGACCAATCCTAGATAACCAAAACCCGAACCGACCCGAACTCGATTAGACCCGAACCGAACCGACCCAATATTTTAGATTTACCCTATTGGGTCCTAAACTCCTCTATCCGAAAGACCCGTACCCGATCGGGTTTTACCCGAACCCGACCCGCATACCCGAATGCCCAGCCCTAGTTTATGCCAATTATTTAAAGTAAAGTGATCCTGAAAACTATCAATTAAAAAATGAAGTATGTGTACATCATATGGGTTCGTGTCATGCATTACAGACATAATGATTGTAATTTTCGTACTACTTTATCAAAATTCCAGCTATTAGAGACGTGGATGATGTTAAGTTTTCAATATATATTTTAAAAACATATAGACAAGTGATCTATAACGCGTCTTTCTCTAACACCAAATGTTTTTTTTTTCTTTTCTTATAACTTCTTAAGACCAAAGTTGTTACAACTTGTATAGAAAAAGAACAATATATTATGTCTAACACTTTTGCTTCCTTTGATTGAAGAATCAAATAAAGAAAAAAATCACCTTTACCTCTAACCAAAAACTATTTTAGGTAAAGAAAGCAAAACCTATTCTAGAATTTCTTTTGTTTTTTTTCTTGTGATGGTAAGAATGTATCATTATTTACATCTTATGTAAAAAAAAAATTACGAATGGAGGACAGAAGAGAAACTCAGTACCGTTCCCCTCCGGCTTCGTTACGCATTGGCGAGTTGAATCCGTTTCTCAAAGTTACCCGGTGGTTTCTTGCCGTGTGCGCGGGCGACCGGAACTTTTGATGGTTATCAGTCTTAGAAACGTTGCGAGGCTTGTCAAAGTTTTGAAGACTTGTCACTTTAACTTCACGGCTTGGTTTAGTAGGAACCGTGTAAGTGAATACCCCAATGGGAATATCATCTTTGTAATCTTTGATGTCTTGAAGAATAGAGACAACAGTACTGATGTCTGGCCTGGTCTTTGGTCGGTACCTTAGGCATTGATAAGCTAGATTTGCTGCCTTTCGTGCTCCGGTCTCTGAGTACTGATCTTCAAGCCTCGGGTCCATTATTCTCCCGAGTTTACGTGCGTCGTTGAGCATTGGACGAGCCCACTCAACGAGGGTTTCTTTCCTTGACGATCTCGCTATGTCCACCGATTTCCGACCTGTCAACAGCTCAAGCAACACCACTCCAAAGCTGTATACATCACTCTTAGCCGTTAGATGACCTGTCATTATGTACTCTGGCGCTGCGTACCCTTGTGTGCCCATCACTCGTGTTGACACATGTGTTGCATCGCCTTGTGGTCCGTCTTTTGCTAGCCCGAAGTCCGAGAGTTTCGCTGTATAGTCCTGAAAAAAAAAATCAAAACATATCAAACGTTTATTCAAATCCAACAATTAGAATTTTGAATGGTGACCACGGATGGAATTGCGGTTCCACCATAATTTGAATAGAAAGAAACAAATATGTCCATTTTAGGATATTGTAGATGTCTTAAGTAGTAAAAATACTCATTTTCTACATACTCGGAGATTAGTCTAGATTTTGGTCCATGATGTACTAACAATTATATTATCCAAAAAAAAAATCCGCTCTAAAAATAAAACGGTCTAGTTTGGTGTAATCTTTAAGATCAAAAAAGAAGAATGCTTGCTTACAGAATCTAACAAGATATTGGAGGCCTTGAAATCGCGATAGATGACGGGCTTCTCAGCTTCATGGAGAAACTGTAGACCCTTTGCAGCTTCGTACGCGATCTTCAACCTAGTTGTCCATGGCAGCGGTAAGGAACACCCTGCAAAACAATCTCATCAGTTCCGGTTCTTAAAAAGAACTAAATCTTTTGATCTGATTGTTAAAATAAAAAGTCAACTCACTTCTGAAGAGTTGAGATTCTAAACTTCCACGAGGCATGAACTCATAAACAAGAAGTCTATGTTCTTCCTCGCAGCAATATCCGATCAGCTTCACTAGATTCGGGTGCTTTAGTTTTCCCAAACACATAACCTCCGTCTGAAAAATTCACCCCAAAAGATTAGTTAGACATTTAGACTCAACATTTTGTATCCCAAACAGAGGATTAGGGAAATGAATGTACGAACCATCCACTCACGGTGACCTTGAAGACCATCAAGATCAAGAAGTTTAACAGCAACAGGCTGAGCATTAAGACCAGGACGGAGCTTGTCGTCAATAAACCCTTTGTGAACCGGACCAAACCCTCCTTCACCAAGAAAGTTGCTAGAAGAGAAACTTTGTGTTATGACTTTGAGCTCTGCTTGTGTGAATACATGGAGATCCGAGCCGGCGAGAGAGATTGAGAGATCTTCCGACAAGGTAGTGGAACTTGGATTACTTATGTCTAGAATCGACAATCCGAGAAACGATTTCTGTTTGGTTACAACACCTTGACCATCATCTTTCTTTGTCTTCTTGGGAGAATATATGTTGTCTGGATCTTGGAAACACAAAACCATTAATGATCTCCAAGATGATCTCTTCTTCACCGCCATTGTTTTGTTTTTGGAGGTGTTTTGTGTTTTTTTTTTTTTCTAATGGATTTGGTTTGTAATGGGAGAAATTAAAGAGCTTTTAAAGTGGAAGAGAATAGGACCAATACTTTTTATATTATTTCAAAATTAATATTTACTAACAACTATGTTTCTTTTCTCAAGAACTTTTCTTACCAAAAAGGCAAAAAATAAGAGTTTTTTATTATGGAAAATATTGTTTTATTAGAGAAAGAGGACGACGACTTCTTGAGGTGGGTTTATACTTCTTTCTGAAGTTTTAACCACGCTTTGACATTGTCATGTAATTCATGTTTAGACGAATAAGTTCTTAGTCGTGAGTGGACGGCTAAAAGGGAGAAGATAATGACATGTTTACCATTTTTTCCTATAGTATTGTGAATACAACTAGGTAATACCTTTTTCATACAATGATAGTTAGAATAGTAAAATTTAGTAATTGATTATACTAATGCCGTCAATATGTTTCTAACCAGATTTTAATCCAGTAAAGTGTTGATAGAAGAAAACGAAAACATTTGGATAGTTAGAGATGTAATAGATAAATGGTCTAATATACTGTTTTTTCAAAGAAGCTAATACTACATAAGCTATTATAGAAATTTACATTTTCAATGATCTGAATTCGATTTTTCATCGAAAATTCAAATCTCGTATTAGGAGTAACGAGTCGATGTTTTTAAAGATTCTAAACCCGAATAAAAAAATAAAAAAATGTGTTTTTAGTATTAGTTAGAAATGAAATTAAAGAAACATTCTATGATAATTGCACTCTATTTAATTCTACAAGAAAAATAGTAAGGTCAATATCAAGAATTAGTTGTCAAAATCGCAGAAATTTCATTAAATTAAAAATGATTTGGTAGAATTGCAATATACGAGTGAGTCAAGCTTCTAGAACACTTTGATAAAATATATATACAAATTATGTGAGCGCGTTGGCGAAGAAGGCGACTTGTTCACTTTGAGTTGTTGACATTTGCTTTGTCCCACACCAAATGACGTAACACATCCTTTGGAACTTTTTGAAACGAAGCGGTTTTGAACGATAATTAATAGAATTTGCTAATTAGGTCGACTTTTCCACTTCGATTTCTACAATAACTACGTTTTGAATTCACGATATAAAATAATTGTTTCTTATGTTTTAGATACAAGAGCTAAAGAAATAATATACCGAAATTTACATATCACACTAATTATTTAGTGATGGTTTACATATCAGTATATCACACGTGATCAGTCTCGTTTCCATGTTGTATGTTTAAAGCCCTCATGCAGTCAGGACAGTACTAGTTGATAGTGAGCTTTGTTGGGAGAGTCCCACACGAGACGTGCCGATTATGTTTCTAGTTAAAGCAACAAACGAACGACCCACGCATAAAAAATCTCTCAAGAGTATGCAGGGTCGGTCCAAACTATTTAGATGCCTAAATCAAAAAGAATTTGGTTCATTAACAAAAACTGTCAAAAAATAGAAAATACAAGTTTCGGCAATAATGAGAATCGAAATTGTGACCTCGATATTAAAAAGGTTCGAACATACCACTTGATGCCTCTAAAACTATTTATAATTAATGCTGCCTAAATCCCTTGTTTCATGGGCTTTAGTTATGGGCCGGCCCTGATAATATGTAATCTGTGTGGCATAGACAATCATGTATAAGAGAACTTCCAATTTCCAATTTTTGAGACTTTGTTCTAATGTTTTCATGTCTATAAAAAAAACGATAATATATATGCGTCTTAGAGCCTCCAACAAAACTCCATAGACCTTCACTCTCGATATTCTCTATTTTCTTTTGTTCTCAGTTTTTTTTCTTGGGGGTTTAGCTGCGTCTTAGAGAGGATGCTCACTCTTTTCCGCTGAGATTGGTTTGTATAATCCACAAGAGATCAGTAGGCTAGGTTTTTCGATTTGGTTAGTTTTAAAAATATGGTTTGGTTCGGTTAGGGTTTCCTTAAGATAGATTGCACTATATGAGTATCATTAGCTAAACCTTTTGCCAAACACACCTTTCTTATTGGCTTTTGTCATCAACGTCATATATTCAAATTTTGTTTTTAAAAGATCACAATGTTTTCTTTTTAAATTTGTAAATTTTGAGTTTAGATCCGTATAACCGGATCAGCATATGATAAATTATTCCTCCCAGTGAGAATGGGACTCGTGTCCCCTAAATACTTATGTTTTCATTTTACTTGTGTTCAACTACAATTAAGTGCTAGGAAATTATTATCGCATCACAACTATTTATCCTTATCTTTGATGCTAACAGTTTTATCTCATCTTCGCCCATTAGGATTGATTATGCTTAAGATAAACTTTGTTTGTCTCCCAGAAAAAATTTCAATGCTTTAGTCAAAATTGATTAACGTGATTGGACGAAGAGTCGGATTTCTGAGAAAACGTGGGAGTTATTGTGTAGAGTTTTATTGTAAAATATTTGAGATGTGATATATTGTTTAGTAGAATGATTTAAGAGATTGTAGAGCAATTTCTCTTCCGAATATTTCCTCCTTTATGGAGTAGTTTGGATGTTCAAGCATTATCGGTTTTGCAAGGATCTTCTTCCTACCGTATGCTCTTTTCAGCCTTTGAGACAGTTGCATTAACCACTCCGGTTGTCATTCACAAAATCATTAAGATTGTTGTCTTGAGAATTCTTATAGTTCATGTTTATGATTTTTATCATTTATCTATATATTTGTTGGTCCTTTTGGCATTTGTTGCCTTGCTTTTATATATTTTCTCTGTCTTTTGGATGTAATCCTTTATTTTTTTATAGAGTTTGATATGATGATATCTAATTATAATGAAATTATCTATGTAATACGGAAAAAAAAGAGGAGGAATGAGCGGAAAATCCAGAAATATTTCTTTAACCCGCTTATTTTTTTTTTCGGATTGATCATCCGTTGAGTTGAGTTGCTTTGAGACATTATTTGTTCCAAAAACAAAAAATTAATTATCAAAAAAAAAAGGAAAAACAGAAAATTTAAGTTGATCACCCTCAACGAAGTATTCAATTATTCATAAATCTTTTTTTTTTTTTTTTTGTCATCCGAAATTAATTAGAACTCAAAAGAGCCATTCCTGTGGAATGTTGTTTACAAATGTGATATGAAGCGGTTCTGTACGAATTTTTCGTGCCAGATGATCCGCTTTTACATTAGCATTGCGAGAAATTAAAGATAAAGAGAATGATGAGAATTCTTCCTTGTCGCTCTGAAATTCCTCCAAGTACACTGAAAACGCCGGCCATTCGGTTGGAGAAGACACCATCTTAACCAGATCAGAACATTCTGTAAGGAACTCTACCTCTTGATTATCTGCACCTATCATACACTTCATCGCCCAGAGAAGGGCCTCGAACTCGGTATGTAATGGAGATAAACTTCGACGGAGATTTGCAGCTCCCATGGTTGGCGGCTCTCCGTTTGATGATGTACAGAACCATCCTGTACCGGAGAACTTATCACTTTCTTTCCACGATCCATCCACAAAGCAACGGTATCCTGAATAGTTCGAGTCAAGTGAAGTATTCCCCACTCGAGGCCGATTTACCAATTCCACAGTACCATGCGTTTCATGATGAAGCTCAATTTGGGCAGACTGCCACAATTGTGCTTCTTTTTCCGCTAACCGTAATACCTCCAATGGATCTTTATCAATATTTTCAAATATTTTTTCATTCCTTGCTTTCCATATATACCAGATAATCCATGGAAAGGCTGAAGAGTCAAAGTCCGAAGGTATTCTCCAAAATAAATGGTCCAAATTCGCAAAGATAGACTCCGTTGGAAAAATTCCCATTGCTGTAGGAATCTGAGAGAGTGCCCAAACCTGTCGTGCCGGGTGGCACTGAAAGAGTGTATGATTGATTGTTTCCACTGGTTCGCCACATCTGACACAACCTGTATCACAATCGATTCCTCTTCTCCGTAAATTTTCCGTAACTGGTACACAACCCGTTAAAATTTGCCATAAGAAATGACGTATCTTAGGTGGACAATGCACTTTCCAAGAATGTGCTTTTAACGGTTTGATATCTGGACCAATCAATGAGAAATTTGTCTCCAAATTTCCTAACCGTGCGGTATGATATCCCGATTTGACTGTATAGTTTCCAGATTTTGTAAAATGCCAACCCAGTGTATCCTCTTTAGTTGGCGCACCCACTGGTAGGGCACTTATGATGGCGATATCTTCTGGATCAAAGATCTCCTATAGGAGAGCAATATTCCAAAAATTCGACCGACTATCTATAAGATTGTTTACTTTTAACAATGGGTCAACAAGTGAACCATTACTCTTTGCTGGTCTCGGGAATTGAGCTGGAATCCAAGGATCCTCCCAAACTGAGATGGATGTCCCCGATCCGACCCTTTTAATAAGTCCTTTATTAACCAGAGATCTAGCTGAACAGATACTACGCCATCCATATGATGGGGAGTATGATTTAATATTTTCCAAGGGATTGGATTTCCGAAAATACCGCCCTTTAAACACCTTCGCAAAAAGGAAATCTGGAACCGTAATCAACCGCCATAATTGTTTAGCTAATAGGGCTGAATTAAAATCGTCTACATTCCGAAAGCCTAACCCTCCTTCCGATTTACTATTGCACAACTTGTTCCAAGCCATCCAATGCATACCTCTGGAATCTCCATTTGAACTCCACCAAAATTTAGCAACCGCACTAGTAAGTTTAGAAGTAATTGTTTTCGGAAGTCTGAAGCACGACATAACATAAGTTGGTAGTGCTGCAGCTACCGATTTAATCATCACTTCTTTCCCACCTTTCGATAAAAATTTTGCCGACCATCCGTTAATTCTTGTTTGCAATCTATCTCTGACAAAAGAGAAATTTTTTGTTTTAGATCCACCCAAACTCTCTGGTAGACCAAGATAAGAACCCATCCCACCGATATTAGTGATTCCCAAGGTAGATTTGATTTCCTCCTTGATATCCTCATCTACCTTATGTCCAAACTGAATCGAGGATTTTAAAAAATTAATCTGCTGTCCGGAGACCGCTTCATATTTCTTTAAAATCCCCAATATTACCTCACATTGGTCCTTATTTGCCTTACAAAAGAATAAGCTATCATCCGCAAATAAGAGATGTGAAACCGAAGGGCTTGCATTTGCTATCCTAATACCCGTAATTAGTTTTTCCCTTTCTGCTTTCCGAATATTCGCAATTAGTACCTCTGTACAAAGGATGAATAAATAAGGAGAAAGCGGGTCCCCTTGTCGTAATCCCCTTTCTGGTACAATTAGTCCTCTAGGTTGCCCATTAAGGAGCACTCTATATTGAACTGTTGTAATACACCACATTATCCAGGTAATCCATTTCTCACAGAAACCTAATTTTCTTAGAACCTTCTCAACGAAAATCCATTCCACTCTGTCATAAGCTTTACTCATATCAGTTTTAATGGCCATGAATTTTCCTTTACATGTCGGGTTAGTCCTCAACCCATGAAACATCTCTTGTGCAATAAGTATATTATCCGAAATCAATCGTCCTTCGACAAAAGCCGATTGTGTTTCCGAAATCAGTTTTGGTAAAACCGTTTTAAGTCTTTGACAAAGAATCTTCGATATAATTTTATAGCCCACATTACATAGACTAATAGGCCGTAATTCCGTCATCCGTGTCGGTCTTTCCGTTTTTGGGATCAGACAAATATTTGTCGTATTTAACCGTTTATCAAAAATTTCATCCTCTAAAAAAGAATTAACCAGAACAAGAAGATCTGATTTAATTGTAATCCAAGCCTTTTGGAAAAATAAGGCTGTCATGCCATCGGGCCCTGGCGATTTTTCCGGATGCATCATAAACAGAGCTGTTCTCACCTCACTCTCCGTAGCAGGTGCCGTTAGAAAATTATTAACCTGATCCGTAATCAGACTTTGAATTTCAGCCAAAGACTCCTCAAAAGCCTCGGGCTTGGTTGTAGTAAACAAATCCTTAAAATAAGAGACCGCTATATTTTGAATATCTTTATCTTCCGCAGACCAAATCCCGTTTGCATCATGCAACCCAGTAATCCGATTCCTTGCCCGTCTCTGTTTTGTTAGAGCATGAAAGTACTTTGAGTTATTATCTCCTAGTTTCATCCAAGAGCACCTACTTTTTTGATACCAGTACAGTTCCTCATCTCGATAAGCTTCTTTCAACCGTAATGTTAATTCCATAATCTCCTCCCTTGATCTTCTGTCATCCCTCTGTGCCACATATAATTCCGATTTAAGTTCCTCAATTGTTTTCCGCCCGTAAGGAGTTAGTTCTCTCCTCCATTGCGAAATTGCCCGCCTACAGTTATTCAACTTTTCCACGAATTTTCCTGCTCCTGATTCAGATTCCGAATTCCAACCATTTGAAATTGCCTCCATTAAACCATCCTTTCCAATCCATCTCTTATCAAACCTAAAGGTTCGTTTTCCACGTGGTATCTTATATAATAGCGTAGCTACCACCGGTGAATGGTCGGAAGCAACCATTGGTAAATATTCAACGAAAGAGTTGCAGAATAATTCATGCCAATCTTCATTCGCTAAAGCTCTATCCAAACGACACCGTATAGGTTTTTTATCCCGCCAACCCCGCCAGGACAACCAGTCTCCGATGTATGGAAATTCCAAAAGACCGCAATTTTGAATCATAAAATTAAAAGGGATAAACGAAGATGCATGTCTTAGAGTACCACCTCTTTTCTCATGATTTCCGGTTAACTCGTTAAAATCACCAATTAAAAACCAGGGTGTATCCCTAGTCAAACCAATCCGCGTTAACCGTTCCCAAACTTGATCTCTATTTTTTGGAACCGGGTCACCATAAACAAAAGTAAGATGAATTGTTTTCCCTTTTACCACAGCTTTCACATCAATTAACCGATTACTTTCATAAACAATAGAAACATTAAAATTATTGTTATAATAAAGAGCTAAACCGCCACTACAACCGATAGGATCAACCGTTTTTAAATTTTTATAACCAAAATGACCGAGAAATTTTTCCATAAAAAAAGAAGATTGTTTTGTTTCTGAAAGAAATAAAAAATCTGGCCGGTGTTGTTTCCAAATGTCCCGAAGATAACCAATAGTTGCCTTATTCATAAATCTTTTGATTTTCAGCGTTTAGGAATAACAATAGAAACTAGAGGAGTGTATTTATTTGAACAGCTTGGCAGCTGATACTCGTTTATTTTCCCATGTTGGTCCCAACTTGGCAAATTGGTTTTGCATTTCCTTCACAATTTTTTGTTTATTTATTCACCAATCCAAAAGTGTACTATGTAATAATAGCACAAAATAAATAAAATGAAAACTTGAGAAAAACAGTAAAAACACTAACAAAACGCAAAATCGCGTCTCTCAAATCTCAGTTTTCCCACTTGAATCTAAAGAGAGGTAGAGAAGAGGAAACAACAAAACAAAACAAAATTCGATAATTGAAGAATTCGCAAAGATAAACGCAAAACTCTAAACCATTCTTCGTCTTCGTCTTCGTCTTCGTCTTCTTCGTAAAAAGATAGCAACAATCGAAGAAGAGCTTGAAATGGGCCACCACCACGACGGTGGCGATGGCGTCCCTCAACATCATGTCAACAGTCCTCGATTTTCCGGTCCTATGACCCGTCGTGCTCAATCTTTCAAACGTGGCGGTTCCGGTGGTAGTAGCAGTAATACTCACGTCGGTGTTAGTGGCGGTGATGGCAACAACACTTCGACCTTGAGAGTTCATCACGAGATCGATCTGCCGCTTAATTCACCTAGATCAGAGATTGTTTCTGGTTCTTCCGGTTCAGATCCGAGCGGTGGATTTGATTCTGCTCTCAATAGAAAGCATCAGACGTATGGTCAGTTGAGAGAGAGAGTTGTGAAAGGTTTGTTGAGGAAGCCGATGGGATCGGTTGTTTCGGATTTTAGTTTGAGAGAGAGGAAGAAACTTGGTCATTGGATGTTTTTTGCCTTTTGTGGTGTTTGTTTGTTTTTGGGTGTTTTCAAGATTTGTGCTACTGGTTGGCTTGGATCTGCCATTGATGGTGCTGCTTCCCATCAGGTTCTTCGTTTTCCTGCTCTCTTTTATTGTGTGTTTGGCCTTTGTTTCTCTGGTACTAGAACCTGCTTGATTAAGGTTGATGCTAGTTGTGTTTAGAGTGTTTCTCTTGTTGAACATTTGTGGCTTCTGGCTTTAGAAGCTCTTGTTTATATGTGTTTGGCCTCTGTTTCTGTTTCTACAACTTGTTTTGATGTTGCCCAAATGTGGATGTGTATCTAAGTTTCCACCTTGAGGTGTGTGTGTTTGGCTGCTTGATTAAGTTCTTCTTCACATTTCTGATGCTACTAGTGTTTCTCTGGTTAAACATTTGTGGCTTAGTTTTCGATCTGGCTTAAGAAGATGGGAGAAGGAGATTAAATAACTGACATGACTTTGGTAATTTCTTCTTTCTAGGATTTATCCAACTCAATTCCCCGAGTAAATCTACTTGATCATAGCTCCCATGATTATATCTATAAAGATGGAGGGAATGATGTTGATCCAACTTTGGTTATGGTTGCTTCAGACGTTGTGGGTGACCAAAACAGTGTAGTTGAAGTAAGTCTTATCTCTGAGTACCAGATTTTCTTCCACTGCTTCATTGGGCACAAGCTTTAAAGTGGATTAATTTGCATCTTCATTCTCTACTCTGGTGAATCTTGATATAGAGCTTTCTACTGAAATCTTGCTTTTTATTCTTCATTCAGTATTCAGGTGTCTGGGCAAAACCTGAGAGTGGAAATTTCTCACGGTGCATTGACAGTCCAAGGAGTCGCAAAAGTATGCTCTTGGCAAAATATATAGTTTTAATCCAATTAGTAGCTATGTGATTTTTTTTTTCTTTTTCTATTTGTAGTTCTTGTTCTCTTCTATAAGTTCTTACCATATGAGTATATATTGTCTGCAGAGTTAGGTGCTAATACGAATGGTTACCTTCTCATAAATGCTAATGGAGGACTAAACCAAATGAGATTTGGGGTCAGGCTTTTGTGTGTTTCTCAATGTTTCTCAACCTGTCTTCTGTTTATAAGTTCTAGGCTGATGCGTTTAACTATTTTAGAATGCAGATATGTGATATGGTTGCAGTGGCTAAAATTATGAAGGCAACTTTGGTTCTTCCCTCACTTGATCACAGCTCATATTGGGCAGATGACAGGTTAGTTCCAAACTTTATTAAGGCATTTGATTAGTCTCACATCCTTACTAAAGCACGTAACTTTTAAGCACTCTGTAGATTGCACCTAATTAAAGAAGATTTGGTAGTTAAACAGATTGCATCTTTGTTCTTGGCATACTAAAGAAAAATAATTAAAGCAGTAAGAGTCATGAGAAGTGACTTTCAGTTCGTTTTATTATCTGCTCTTTAGCTTATTTCCTTATTACACTGTGTTTGTAGTGGCTTTAAGGATCTATTTGATTGGCAACACTTCATTGAGGAGTTGAAGGATGATATTCACATAGTTGAGATGCTGCCATCAGAATTAGCCGGAATTGAGCCTTTCATTAAGACACCCATATCGTGGTCTAAGGTCAAGATTACTTTCTTGATAATATTGCCATATTGGGGGGCTTGGTTCACTAATATTTGCATACAGTTGTTTTCAAGAAGACCCCAGTCAGTAATTTTTTTCTTTATTACAGGTTGGTTACTACAAGAGAGAGGTCCTTCCATTGTTGAAACAGCATATTGTAATGTACTTAACTCACACTGATTCTCGGCTCGCAAACAACGACCTGCCTGATTCTGTACAAAAGCTTCGTTGCCGAGTAAATTATAGGGCACTGAAATATTCAGCTCCAATAGAGGAACTGGGAAACGTTCTAGTTTCTAGAATGAGGCAGAACAGAGGTCCATACCTTGCTCTTCATTTAAGGCAAGTAGCTTTGTCTGTTTGTCACATCATATTTATTTGACATTGGGCCATATGCAAGTTTATTTTGATAAATCTAGATGCAAGACCAGTTTGAATTGGTTTGGTGTACTCATGCAAATACTGAAATATCCCATGTAAAGTTTGGTTCGTTACAAGTATATCATCTTCCGCAGGTATGAGAAGGATATGCTGGCTTTCACAGGCTGCAGTCATAGTTTAACAGCTGAAGAAGACGAAGAATTACGACAGATGCGGTATGAAGTTAGTCACTGGAAGGAAAAAGAAATAAATGGAACAGAGAGAAGATTGCAAGGTGGTTGTCCGTTGACTCCAAGGGAAACCTCGCTTTTACTAAGGGCTTTGGAATTTCCATCCAGCTCACGGATTTACCTCGTAGCTGGTGAAGCATATGGAAATGGAAGCATGGATCCTCTCAACACAGACTTCCCCAACATTTTCTCACATTCAATTCTTGCCACCAAAGAAGAGCTGAGTCCTTTCAATAACCACCAGAATATGTTGGCTGGTTTAGATTATATTGTTGCACTTCAGAGTGAGGTATTTCTCTACACATATGATGGGAACATGGCAAAAGCGGTTCAAGGTCACAGGCGATTCGAGGACTTCAAAAAAACAATAAATCCAGACAAGTAAAATGCTCTTCCCGAATACACCACTTGTTTGTAGTAAAAAGTTATCATTTTGGTCACATCTTCTTTTTCGATGCAGGATGAACTTTGTGAAACTTGTTGATGCATTGGATGAGGGGAGAATTTCATGGAAAAAGTTCAGTTCCAAAGTGAAAAAGCTACATAAAGACCGAAATGGAGCTCCATATAACAGAGAGCCGGGAGAGTTCCCGAAGCTGGAAGAGAGTTTCTACTCAAATCCTCTTCCCGGGTGTATTTGCGAGAATACAGAAGAAGAGGGTGTGATGTGACGTACATAAACATGGAGAGATGTTTCTGGTAATATTATTTAGTAGCCTGAGATTTACAGTTAGCAAAAAAAGAAGAAGAGAATTGTGATTTTTTGTGTCCTGAAGCTAGAGAGGGTGATGATTACCAAAGCTCAAGACTAGAAAATGGTTTCAGAGACAGATTAGAGAAGTACGGAGACAGTATCATAGTGGAATCGTTTATAAGAAAGAAACTCCGCTCAATTGTTCATCATCAGTCAAATTTCTACTGATAAAGCTCGGCTTCAGCTATGCCATGGAGATTTGTTGAAGTGGGTAAACAAAATAGGATTCACATTGTTTGTAACACTACAATTGTCATTTTTTCTGAACTCTAGAACAACTTTTTTTGTTCTTTTACACGCATTAATAACATAGAATATATATTCCTGCAGATAATCTTTATCGTCTCTCTTTCTAGGCTCTAACTATTGAGTTGTAGATATAATAAAACGAACCATGTTCCACCATTAAAGAAAAAAAAACTTTCACCATGGATTTGACTGTATAGTCGGTATTGTTAAGCGATCATCAGACAGATAGCCATAAAAAATATAGTAGTTAGAAAAGTCATTATATATATAGCCACCAATAAATGGTGATTCGTGGCTATATTGCCACCGATTAGCCAACAAAAGTTTGTGGCTTTATAGCCACTACCAAACCCTATACATAGTGGCAAGTGGTTATGTAAATTCAGTGGCTAATGGCCGCCTATATTCGGTGACCACATACTACGGACGTTCGCTACTAGTACGTGACCAAATGGAAAACTTGCTTGGTCATGGTTTATATAGTTATTCAAAATGTTACCCATTGACTACTACTACTAAGATATGGAAAATGGCCAAAATCAACCAAAACATTTTGTTTACCTAAATTTTAATATAATGTATTTTTCTACCTGAACCGTTATAAAATTTAAATTACATACATAAATTAATAACACTATGTAGAAACCAACATTGACTTAGATGTTAGACAACCGTTAATTTTCGATGATTAAGATGCTACTGGGCAATTGACATGGCACGCAAAATGGTTTAAAATGACATCGCCTTGGCTATAGTGTGTACATATACTCAAAACAATGTCGTTTTAAGTACGCAGAATAAATTAAGTTTTAATAATAAGTTGTTTTAAAAATATTTTACATACTCAAAATGACGGTTTTAATATAAGTTTTTAAAAAATTATTCTACATATTCAAAACGATATCGTTTTGAGTATAAGTAAGTACCATAACCAAAACTACGCCGTTTTGAACCAATCATGTGCCACATCAAGTATGCAGTGGTGGTTTAATCATCGAAAATTAACAATTGACTGACACTTTCTAAGTCAATTTTGGTTGATGTATAACGTTTATTAACTCATATATGGTATTTGAATTTTATAAACGCGTATATGACAAAATGTTCGGGTTGTTTTAAGCCGTTTTCCCTACTAAGATACTACATAAATGTGGTAAGAAGAGGTCATGTAAATATCTGCCTCTTTTGGGTTAACATGTATTGATAATGATATATTTGACATTTGGAGAAAAATAAATTGAGAATGAAGTTGGGTTTGTTTTTGTGTGTTGCAATTGACTTGATATTCAGTAAAAGTTTTGGTGATAAATGTCACTAGGTTGATTTTTTTTTTTGTCAACCACTAGGTTGTTGTGATACATATTTGCAATAAACTTAAACTATATGAATACAAATTAATATCTTTCAATTGAAAACAAAAATATCTGAATTAATTTATTTTTTTCTATAATCGTCTCCAACTAAAAATTTGATTTGCATCCTCTCAAAATTTTTAATATTCATGACTCCAAGTTATTATTATACATTAAAAAAAAAATATATCACTTTTAATAAATTATTTACTCAATGGGCATGAGACCATAATTATCGGGCCATCTATTGGACTGTTCTTATGTTATAAAAATATTAAAATTTCTGAGAACAGGCTTTGGAACATGGAAAGTGATCTTGGGCTAGAACTGTTTTTGGGCTGTTCTTGTGGCGACGTGGCACCCGCGGATTGGTTGCGATTTTTGTTTAATAATTATTTGGAATTGTATTTTGTGTTTCTTTTTATTTTCAAATCAATTTTAATATAAGTTTAGTTTTTATGTTTTCAATTTTAAAAATAATTTTTTTTAATTTTTAAAAAACATTTAAAGTTTTTGATTATTAAATTATTAATTCCTATGATCTAAACATGTTCTACCAATAATCACTTACTTTACAAAAGATCTTAATTAAAGCTCTTACAATATTTTAATATTTTTTCTCCCTTAAGATCAAACTTCAAAGATGCACCCTTGCATCTGCCCTGATAGAAGAAAAGTTATGCTAAAAAGAAAAAAAAAATGGAAGAGAAAATTGAAAGGGACAAAACCGGTATTCAACAACAAATTCCACATTATGTCATGATTGGTCTTAATAGTCTCACGACACAAAACGACAAAACTTGAATAGAGAAGAAGAAGATATTATGAAGAAGAAAAAAGAAACTGACCCTCTCTTCGTCTCTTTGTCTCTCGCTCGCTCGCAGCCTTTTTATTATTTTCTCATACTTTTTTGAACCCACGAGGATCATCTTTCTCATCATCACCATCATCTTCCTCCTCCTTCATAATAATCAACTTCTTCTTTTCTCTGAAGAATAAACTAGGTCACCCTTTTTTCCAAGTTCCAATTTGGTTTCAGAGTTTTTTCAATTGCTTGCTTTAAGTTTTTGCGTAGGTGAGAGATCTTCTTCATCTTCTTACCCTTTTTGTCTTCTCTTATTGTCTGATTAGTCTCTGTTCTGTTTCTTTTTCAATTCCAAAGTTACTTTTGAATTTTGTTTTTTTAGTTCCTTAAGCTTATCAGAGGTATCTTCAAATTCCTATATTTATTTATTCTGTTTTACTTTCTGAGTATAACCAAAGTTCTTGCAAGTTAATGTTTCATTGTGTGATTTGTTGTTATTCTCTTTCTTCTGTTTTGGTGACTTTCTGATCCAAAAGATTAGGGATTTTAAAGTCTAAGAATTGAACAGATGGATCTAACTTTTAGTCTCACTGACGTCGCTTATCTGAATTTATTTTGTCCTTTATGTTTGTACTAATCCTTAATCAAAATCCTTAAAAGGCTGATTTTTGGTTATGATTTATTGCAAGAGAGTTTCTCATTACCTACCTATCACTGTCTTTAAATACTTAGGGAATTATATTTTTCTCAATTTGAGTTATCTATCTTTACTTATGGACCACTTTGGTAAACTAATATAGATAAAGCATGATCCTTTTACCAGTTTGTAATCAAAAGTCTCTCTTTTGTGTTGTAATCTTTACATGATTTTGTATCCTCAAGTGTGGTTGTTACTGATACTTTGTGTTATTTATCTTGTAGTGAAGTAAGTTATGGCCAAGAATGAGGAAGGAAGTAGTAGTCCGAGTTGGGGTGCTTCGTTTTTTATGCAGACTTCAGAAGATGTTGCAATGGCTTTTGCTGCTGCGGCTTCTGCGATAAACCCGCCAAGGCCTTCTGTTGTCTTTTCGTCGAAAGATGAAGGTAGTGATAGCCCTCTGGAGAGGTTACAGAGGCAGGTTTCAAAAGCGGTTAAAAACTTCTATGAAACTCCTAAGACCAAGAGTGTAATGTATAATCCTGAGGTTTTGACTAGCCAAAAGCGTCAATGGGCGAAATTTCAGGTGCACTATATGGTGTGTGTTTAAAAATTTGAACTACCAAATTTCTTTAATGAAGAAGTAACTACATCTCGATGTCACTATATACACTTTTGTCACTAACTTATCCCAAACAGGATCATAAACCATTGAAAGATCCATCAAGGCTTTTTGAAAGCGTTGTTGTTGTTGGACTTCATCCTAATTGTGATATCCAAGCACTCGAGAGGCAGTACATTGCACGAAAATCTGAAGGCTCTTCTGGGAGATTGCGAAGTGCATTGGTTTCTCAAAATCATTCCCGTGTAGAACCCAGTCTTGAACCACAGGTGAGGTATCATTTTTTGTATATATATTTTCTCATATGCAAGCTGCTAAGTCTAAGTATTTACTTTATTTTTTCAGGTCTTACTTGTGTACCCTCCCGATAAGCAGCCTCCAATTAAATACAAGGATCTTCATTCATTTTGCTTTCCTGGAGGCATTGAGGTGCTTAATTAATTTTTCCTCATTTCATACCTTTATTGCTTCTCAGTTCTGTAATACATAACTAGTTTTCTGGTGCTCTATGGGTCAACCTATTAAGTCGAAACTGGTTTAGAATGTAAAATTTCCTCATAATGCATTGTCTAGTAATAGTGCATGGTAGTCATACTTTAAAATTTATGTTGGTTCTCTACGTATGATACTTCGCTAGTACGCACCCACTTTTGAAGCTCTTCTAAAGTGTTAGCAGGTTTTTTTAATTCCAGTAGATTTCACTCTATGAATAAATGTTTCTGTTGCATTTTACCCTTGATGGTTTACTTTGTTTACATGTAAGAACTACGTTCTTTATACTCATACTTTTTGCTTGTTATGTCTTTTAAGTTAATACTGGTGATTATTGGGTTCAGGTCCATGCTGTTGAGAGAACTCCTTCCATGAGCGAGTTGAGTGAGATCATTCTCAGTCAGGTACTTGCCTGATGTGGAGTGTATATGTAAAGATTGATCGTTGTACTGGATTTAATTTTTTGATATTGGGAAGATATTGTGGATTAATCAATGTGTCAACTTCGATTCACAAAGCTAAGATTTATATACGAAAACATACACTAATTTAAAATCCTGTGATGTTAACTTTGCAGGAACATCTTAGACCAAGTGACCTTTCATTTGTATTTAGGTTACAGGTAAGCATCATCGTGGCCAAACTATCTCTTTTGTATAAAACCTTAATAACATTTTAGCTTCTCTATTTGGATGAGTAACTTTTGTGATATTTTCCCTTCAGGTTGCTGATAATTCTACTTTGTATGGATGTTGCTTACTAGTGGAAGAAATAGTGAACAAACCGTCCAGATTGCTTTCCACAGTTTTGGATAAACAACCTGCTTGCTCATCATTAAGTCGCTATGTTATGACAACTCGCAGATGCTATTGCGTCCTTACTAGACTGCCATTTTTTGAATTGCATTTTGGTGTATTAAATAGGTGTGTATCGACTCTCTTCTGATTATTATTTTTTGCCTTCACGCAATTCAGGTTATTCTAGTGTGATATAAACAGAATCTATCATAGCACATGTTTTATCATCCCACAAAAGATGTTTGTCTTGTATAATTCAAGAAATGCTTTAATTCCTTGTTGCAATTTTCGCTTTTTGAAGTCGTGCTGACATGGATACTCTTTTTGATGTAGTATCTTCTTGGAAGAAAGACTGGAGCATTTGATGAGTGGCATCAGTTGTGCATCTTTAGAACCCCCAACAGATTTCAGCAATGAAGATAGCTTAAATGATTCATCACCCCAACAAAGAGACTCTGGGGACACAAAAGAACAAACTGTTAAAGCAGGTTCAGAACTCCCTAAAGCTGACGAAATTTCAGATAATGGGACTTGTGAGGCGAATCAGAAAGTTGACGTCAACTTGGATCCACTAAAGACAATTGTTGAGAAGACCTCTGGTTCTGCAGAGTCTAACGATTATGTCCCTAAAGCTGATGATTCCTTACCAATTATTCAGCAAGGCAGAGAAAGTTGTTTACCAGATCCTGCCCCCCTTCTTCGGTGCCCGTATTTGGATGAGATCTCTGATTCTAGCACTAGGTACATCATCAAAATCTCTTCATCTATTAAGTCGCATGACAAGCAATCTCTTAACCTGTCTGTTGATTAAATATGTATAAAAATATACATATAAAATATCACCCAGTACTGATAACTTTACGATGATCTTGTTGATCATATTTGCAAAGTATTACCAGTAGATCGAAAGAATCCTGCGAGCCGAAACCTTATATTACAGTGCATTTGTGGTTAGAGAAAATTTTGTATCGCTTTATGAGGGTTAGCATTTATTTGTTCTTTCTTTTCTTTTATACTTCTGCAAAGCATGTAACTTGCTTCTTGCAGCTTTCAGGCTGCTCCTTGTGAGAGGAGGCATTCTAGGACCAGTGCAGATGACACTGAGACAGATGAAGCATCCTTTTCTGGTCAAGATGATACAAGCAGTAATTTTGATATTCTTGAGTGGGCAAAGGTTTGTCTACTTTGCTTTCTTGGAAGTTTCCTATGTTGTGTCTGCCATCATCCTACGCCTAATGCTCTAACTTAACAAATCTCTATCAGTCCAAAAAAAATGGGTCGCTGCAAATTCTATGTGAGTATTACCAATTAAAATGCCCTGCAAGAGGTTCAACTATTACATTTCATCCTTTGGAGCATCTTCATCCGGTTGAATATCATAGACCTGATGAAGTGGCATTGCATACTCCTGGATCAGCAATTGACCGAAGATCATTCAGCACTAGTCTAGAACTCGTGGAGGTATCAACCTAATTGTATCCGACAGTCGTATAATTTTTCTGCATTTCATAACATCTGGAAATCTGTATATGACTTTCCCGAAACTCTTATCTTCCTTGGTTTTCAGGCACACACAGCACTCATGGCTGAGGAAGAAGCAGCTGCACTATCAACATGGGCTGTTGCTTCGTTATGTGGATCACTGCGGCTTGACAATGTGATTTCTTGCTTTTCCATATTTTCTTTTCATGACTTTGCGGTTTCTGTGATGCTGATTCATATGTACAAAATAGAAAAAAATAACACAATCATATTTATGATCTCCTAGTAATTTAATATTCCTGTTTTTCGGTGGTCTCATATGGTTTCCACAAGTGTTATATGCTGGAACTATGTGGACTCCGAGTTTCAATGTTTTTATGATAATGTTAATGCATTCTTTCTCTGGTTGCTGCGATTGATTTTCTACTGATACTACTACTTCCTGCATTTGGACAGATTTACCTTAAATTCTGATATTTCTCTTTTCTTTTGCAGGTCTTGATGATCCTAGCAGGAGCACTGCTTGAGAAACAGATTGTATTTGTTTGCTCTAATTTGGTAAAGCACATACTCTGTGACATCATCTATTAAGTCTACTGTATTTTATTAATCTTCAAATATTGCATCGTCCTCTTTAATATAATTATCTGGGTGTTTTTTCTTTTATGTGAACTATGTAGGGAATCTTAGCAGCATCAGTTCTATCAATTATCCCAGTAATCCGTCCCTTTCGGTGGCAGAGCCTTTTAATGCCGGTATTATCCTTGTTTCTTTCTGGTGTTCACTGAAGATCTGTAGGTAACCCATGTAGGATTAATGGCTGGCCTTGATTTCCAGGTTTTGCCAGATGATATGCTGGAATTTTTGGATGCCCCAGTCCCTTACATAGTGAGTGTGTGAACATGATTCCTACGTTATAAGATCCTTATCATAATTATTTATGTTGCTTAACAAGCTATGTTCATTTTAGGTTGGAGTAAAGAACAAAACAAGCGAAGTTCAGTCGAAACTAACAAATGTTATCGTCGTGGATGTTCTGAAGAACCAGGTCAGTTTCCGCCTTTGCCCTCATTATATTCTGTTAATGATCATGTTACTGGTTCTGAAGAAGCAAAAAATCCTTTTTAGGAATCACATTTTTGGTAACAAAAGCTCCATATATGTTGAATCCCTTGTACATATGATTTATTGATAGCACTACACATCTTCCTTGGAAAATTACTAGGACCTGGACATGTTCACTGTCTATATTCTAATGACATTTCAGGTTAAGTCACCAAGTATGCCTACACTGCCTCAGTATCGAGACTTATATAATGCGCTAAGTCCTTATCACTCAAAGCTCGTTGGAGAAAGCTATCTAGCAAAGAAAAGACCAGTATATGAATGTACTGATGTCCAGGTCTCTGACGCGTTCTTTGTGTCTTTTTTTTAATCTTTGCATTAGTGTCATGTGCTATTTTTAACCACCTGTCATCAATTGTGTTTGATTATCCAAAGGTGGATGCTGCAAAAGGCTTCCTGGGTGTCCTAAGGTCGTACATTGATTCTCTTTGCTCTAATCTGCAGTCACACACCATAACAAATGTGCAGTCCAACAACGATAAGGTTTAGAATAGAGAATTGTGTTCTGCTATCCTCTTTAGATGATTTTATAACTTTAAACACCATGCAAGTATATAATTATGTTAAGCTTGATTTTGTTCTTTCTTTCAGGTATCACTTCTTCTAAAGGAAAGTTTCATCGACTCTTTTCCTAGTCGTCAGCGCCCGTTCATGAAGGTGAGAGCCCTTTGTATTCTCATTGTATATTCTTCATATTCAATAGTTTCCATAAAGACTAGAACTTTGCTAACATACGGCTTTTCTATTATGATGCGAACAGCTATTCGTGGATACACAACTCTTCTCTGTACATACAGATCTCGTTCTTTCCTTTATTCAGAAGCTATAGGATAACTACATGTATACGCAAAACAAGTCTTGTTGGTGGGAACAGAACACAATACCTGGCGATAAAAGTGCCATCGATTCTGTATTTGTAACTTACTGTTTGAGAAAATTGTCTATGGAAAAAGACTTCCATAGATGAGGATTTGATACAGAGAACCATCCTCTCCTTTGTATCCTTCAAACACAAACACAGTTTGGTGTTTTAAATCTTAAATCTTAATAATAGCCTACGGATCTTTTATTTGTGCATAAGATGGAAATGTTTAAATACTATTTAAATGCACCATTTTGTACAAAGAATGATGTCACGTTTCACAGATTACTAGATATTCTATTTCTCTGACTAATTAACTCACACATCTCGCGGGCGGGGGTCTTAACGCTTTATCTAGGAGTATCGTTTTAAACGTTAAATTCATATGTTGCATTGCATTTTTCTGAAACTTGCAAATATTTTGCTGCAATATTATTGTCGAATTGTAAGTGTGACCATTATTTTTATACTAAAACATTTAGAAATTGTGTATAACTAGATTAGGACCCACCCTATATGCGGGCTTTTGATTTTTATTATCATATTAAATTTAACAAAAAAAAAACTAAATTAAAAATTATCGTTGGTAAATGTTATTTAGAACTTTTTTGGACTCTTTTTACGTAATCGTTAGAAACTCTCCCAAAACCAGCAGCCGCCGCTCAAAGAATTTTTCTAAAATGAAATGCATGCTTATGTATAAATACCTTTTTGCCGATGAATAAGACTCTTTAAGTATACAACTATAAAAATGATAATACAATATATAAATTTAGGCTGTTATTCTTGCTTAACGTAGTTTTCCCTATCACATATAGGGTGACTGAAACCAATATGGTCACTTTCAAAGGCGTTATAATATTTGTAGTTTATATTTTGGAAGCTTGTTAAAGTAAATAATTTGGAAGCAAATTTATGTTTATATTATCTTATGCATAAAAAAATTACAAAATCATAATTAGTTCAAAAATATTGATAACCTACAATGACGCGCATGACTTAAAACAATCATCTAGTATCTCTTTATACGATGATTCCAAAAATGAGAAGAAAAAAAAATTCCTTACATTTATGACTTTGCCTGCCTATAAATGGATTATACATTGTATAATTAAAGTGAAATTTCGATATACAACATTGTAAAGTGGGTTCGTATTACCAAGATTAATAACGCAAGTAGAATTTATGGGTAGGGTAGTTAAGCGGTGGTTAGGATATAATAAAAGCTCTATCATTTGCTCATGCATAAATTAATTTAACAAAATCTATCAAAAATATTTGCATCATTTTCTTAAAGACAAAAAAAATATATATATCTATAACACTCAAATTGTGATTAATATTTGTTTTTCTTGGTCTCTTTGGTAAGTTAAGAAATTAGAAGCGTACAGACAAATACACGTATACTTTTGTTTTGTCCGTATAGAGAAATATGTAGTAGTAACGTAGATTGTTGCGATAGGCTCAACAAGTGAAGTCTCGGAGCCAATCTTCATCGTCGCCGCGATGATGACAAGAAGTGAAAGGTCTATTGAGATCGAGATTACCTTGAGCAGGAACCAAATCTCCCAAAATCTCGTTAGATGAAACAAGAGACGTAACGTTTCCACAGTCCAAACCATCAAAATCCATCAAATCCGGGAAGTGAAACTCCGACTGGATCCTGTCGAAATCGAAGTCGAGATCTCCCATCAACGAAGACCCACCTTGATCCTTCTCCTGTTCTTTCAGAGGAAGTGGACTGATACTACTAGTACTACTCTGCTTCTGAAGAGTGAGATCCGAGAAGAGAAGAGCCTTTGAGCACCTAATCGCCTTTGTACGTATAACACATACATTATTCTCGTTGTTTGTCGAATGTTTTATACGTTTCGATTGCTTGGTTTGAGTTTTGGGAAGTCTTTTGCGGAGGTTTGAGTTCCAATGATTCTTTATTTCATTGTCTGTTCGGCCTGGAAGCCTCCCAGCTATCAACGACCATCTGCATTAATTATTATGTCACATAACAAATAATTTTACTACAAAAGGAAAAATTCTGTGTTTGGTGAAAAACCTGTTTCCGAGAAGATTATGGAGACGGATTATGAGTTCTTCTTCATCAGATGAGATGTTTCCGCGCTTTATTCCCGGTCTTAAGTAGTTCTTCCACCGAAGTCTACAGCTTTTGCCACACCTCTTGAGACCTTTTATGTGTGCCAAGACAATTATTGTACGTAGAAGATATAAAGACGGATACATAGATAGATAGATAAATTCTTACCAGCTTGGTTAGGGAGAGTGCTCCATTTGCCTTCGCCGTGAGTCGTGATATAATCTCTTAGGATCTTGTCTTCATGATCAGTCCAAGCTCCTCTGTTTAACTCTTCTCTCTTCACACTAGTAGTTGCTCTCTTTCCCATTTTCTTTTTCTCTCTCTTGTGGTTGTGTGGTTGGTACAATTGTCTTTAGTGTTGTGTTGAGAATAGATTCTGTTTTTGTGTTTAGCTAAGTATCTTTATAGGGGAGTTGTTGCTATGTCCGTACATCAGTCGCTTTCTAAAACCTCTGTCATACACACTTTGAAATTTTAATGCTTTTTTCACCTGGTAATAATTAGCTTTGGTGAGATTAATTCTACCGAATTTTAACATCAAGAAAATACTTTTCATAAACCAAGTGTGAATTGTGTTGAGAGAAGTCAAAAGTATTTCAAGCAAATACAAATATATTACATTTATTCCATTTCAATATGGTAAACGGTTATAGTGTCATTATACTCATGCTAATAGAAGGCTGATATTTTATCACTCTTAAATATACAACGAAACAAGATGACCTAATAATAGTAATTGGGTTTAGGATCTAGGGAAATAAGATTGCACCCTTTTCACATCAGTGTGTATGAGTTTGGTTTTTATTGGAACCAAATTGTTTTGCTTGGATCAGTTGGAGGTATGAGCTTCTGTTCAAATGTTTAATACATGATAAGTTTTGTTTAGTTCATGATAAGTTTGCGGAAACCTCCTGGCAAGAAATCTGTTCACCTCCGAAAATAGTCGGCGTTGATTGTTAGTCCTAAATTTGGTTTTTGGGAAGTCGGCAACCGAATATCCGGTGCTAATCTTTGAAAATAAAAAAAATATACATATTAGGATTTGTAATTTATTTTCTGTCTCTTTTTCTCCTCATGTTTAATAGGGCAAATAATTACATAATGTTATGATACTGATAATTTAGCTTGAATCTTAATTATACAACGAAATCCATGCAAGATGGCCTAATAGTAGATGCGCTTAAAACCTAACCTAGCTAGGAAAATGGAATTGCATTCCTATTGGAAACAAAAATAGTTTTGTTTGTGCCACTTGGACTTTTAATCTTTAGTCCAAAGGTTTAATTTGTGGTAGGCTTGCGGGAAACTTGCGTCTCCAGTTGGTATTAAGTATTAACTCCTAATTTCAAATTTGGTTCTTGGAAGCCGGTGATGACTGAATACGCAGTGTTAATCTAAAAATTAAATAAATATACCATCTAATATTTTTGTTTATTCTTTCTCTTAGTTACATATTATAATTTTATTCCCTGTCATAGTTACATAAAAAAATGTGTAAAACACCCCCTCAATTTTCCTAAAACATCTAAAAATAAATTATAAATTAATATAATGATTTATTTGGTCTATATTTGGTTTATTGGTATTGAAAATGATTCTACTCTTTACCAAAAGGTAAGGGTTTAAAAACTTAAAGAAATTAATTTTTAAATTTTTTTTACTTGTTTTACTCAATTTTGATTTTCCCATTAAACATATAAGTTGTATTTTTATTAGGCCTGGGTTTTCGGTTAACCGTTCGGTTATCGGTTGAGTCCATTCGGTTTCGGTTTTTTCGGTTTCAAAATTTAGTATCCATTCGGATATTTTGAAATTTCGGTTCGGTTTCGGTTCTTTCGGTTTTAAAATTTAGTATCCATTCGGTTATTTTGCTTAGGATATTTTGGATATTTCGGTTATTTTTGAGTATTTTCGGATATTTTTGGATATATTTCGATTATTTTCGAGTATTTTAACTATTTTTATATATTTTCCAAGTATTTTTGATTATTTGGTATATAAATAACTAATTATTTTGAAAGTATAATTGTATTTCGGGTATTTCGATTACCCGAAATATTCGGTTCGGTACCGATTCGGTTACGGTTATTTCGGTTATAGAATTTAGTATCCATTCGGTTATTTTCAAATTTTCGGTTCGGTTCTTTTACTTCGGTTTCGATTCGGTACATTCGGTTCGGTTTATTTGGCGAGGCCTAATTTTTATATTCAGTCCCTCTGTCTGTTGTCGCTTGTCGATAGAAATGGGCCTTTAAAAGGCCGGGCCTCACTCTTAACTTTATATAATAACCACACAATTTTATCATTTCACTCTTAACGCACTCTCTTCACCGAATCTAGGGTTTTTGTCTCTAGCCTCCTCAAGGTTTGCAACAACAAACATGGCGACCCAGATCAGCAAGAAGAGAAAGGTGAAATCTTTTCCCCTCCCCTCTCTCTATCTCTCTATCAATGTATCGTTTCTTTAGCTTCACACAAAAAAAGTTTTGATTTTTTTGTAGTTCGTAGCCGATGGTGTGTTTTACGCTGAGCTCAATGAGGTTTTAACCAGAGAGCTTGCTGAGGATGGTTACTCTGGTGTTGAGGTTCGTGTCACTCCTATGCGTACTGAGATCATCATTAGAGCCACTCGTACTCAAAACGTTCTCGGTATGTTGCTTCATTTTCGTTTAACCTTGCTCTGATTCGGATTTTTCTGTTTCTATGATATCGATTTGATGATACTCTGTTTTACTTTAGGTGAGAAGGGAAGGAGGATTAGGGAATTGACATCTCTTGTACAAAAGAGATTCAGATTTCCTCAGGACAGTGTTGAGCTTTATGCTGAGAAGGTTGCTAACAGAGGTCTTTGTGCTATTGCTCAGGCTGAGTCTCTTCGTTACAAGCTTCTTGGTGGTCTTGCCGTTCGTAGGTATGACATGTTTCTATTGCTGCATCCTTTTGTAGCTATCATTGAGGTGTTGTTTTGTTAGCTTGTTGCTCGTATAGGCATCAAACAAATTGGAGATATTGGTGCTTGGACTATGTGTTGATGTCGTTTTCTATCCATATATAATGGTGCTTAGGCTATGTGTTAGTGTCGATCCAATGTTGTTTTCTATCTATGTATGACTAAGAAACTGCGTAACAAATATTGTGTATTAGTAAACATGTTTTGCTACTGATTGTGCATCAGTATTGTACTAGGTGTTTGGCTACGCCCTGTAGAACAAGTCTAGTGAGCTATTCTTATTTACTATCTGTGATTATCACAATAGGCATTGGGTTTGAATTAGTTGCTTAGGTATTCAAATCATTGAACCTCTCAGGCTTCTTTTAAATTTGATAATATTCTTCCAAGTATGATTTGATGTTTTCGTCTCTTAAGCTCAGAATGTTTATAGTGCTGTGATCTTTTGTTGTATAGGGCTTGCTATGGTGTGTTGAGGTTTGTTATGGAGAGTGGAGCTAAAGGATGCGAAGTCAGTACAAGCCCCACTCTTTTCTGTTACATCTTTTCGGACTACCTCTATAGTGTTCTTACAAAATGTTTTGCAGGTCATTGTGAGTGGAAAACTCCGTGCTGCACGTGCTAAGTCGATGAAATTCAAGGATGGTTACATGGTTTCCTCAGGTCAGCCAACCAAGGAATACATTGATGCTGCAGTTAGGCATGTTCTTCTTAGACAGGTCAGTTCTTCATAGTGGAAACCTGTTGCTTGAACCACTTTATATCTAGAGAGCTCTTGTGTAACCCGAGTCTGGTTAATCGCATGTGCAGGGTGTGCTAGGACTCAAGGTGAAGATCATGCTTGACTGGGACCCCAAGGGCAAACTAGGACCGATGACACCATTGCCTGATGTTGTGATCATCCATACACCGAAAGAAGATGATGTTTACATCGCACCTGCTCAGGTTGTTGCTCCGACTGCTCTTGTACCGGAAGCCCCATTAACAACCACAGATTATCCCGCAATGCCAGTTGCTTAGAGAGCCTTTTCGTTTTCTTGTTTAAAACCTAATGGGGATGGTTCTTTTTTTGGGACAGTACTAGTTTTCTCATGTTATTTTAAGATAATACTTTTTAAGTTCTTGTGGTTGAATTACAAATCAAGGATATGGGTGTATGTTTTTCGTATTCGTTTGTTAAAATCTTTTGACGATTTGCCTTTATCTTAAATTGTGGTTTTTAACATATTGGGTTTTAAAAATGTTATTAAGCCAAAACAATTATTTCTCTCAATTGATTTTACGTGTTTTGCAATGTCAAGCCAATTGTAGTAGTAAAAAAAATTCCAATCCATTAGCCCAAAGAGGGGAAAATGGTAATTTAATTCCCCTACAATATGAAATTGACACTTTTATTCCCGAATTTTCATGTGAACAAATTAATTCCTCAATGTGTAGTTGACTGGGCACTTTTGGACAAAGAAAAAGTCAACGTTAATTAGTTAACAGCAACGTTAACAGCTCGATTAAAAATCTCATCAGCCCTAAAAATCCCCAATTATTCTTCTTCTTCCCCCAAATTAAAACCTAGGGTTCTTAACCGATTTTGAAAACGACGAACCCAGAAATTGAGTTCAATTGAGAGTGATTCCCGACAACACAAAGCTACTACCATGACTAAAAGAAAGAGGAAGCTTCAAAATCGAATCGAACGTGATGCCCAAACCGAACCCGAAATCACAGAGGAGAGAGACGAAGTTGAAGACGAAGGAGCCGAATATCATGATTCTAGTGTTGATGAAGACGACTGTCCAGTTATCGTGGAAGATAGCAGAGGATATACAGAGGTGGAACCATGTTTGGCTGGAAATGAGGAGGAAGAAGATGATGGTTTCATCGATGTTGAAATCTGCAACAACTTAGAGACCATTTTACTAAAGATTTGATTAATTGTTTGTTGGTGTAATGGTTTGCTTAATTGCTTGGTGGTCTAATGGTTTGTTTGACTTTACGGAGATTCATCTCATGTTAGAGCTTCTCAAGAGGGATTTTCTCAAGCTGGATCATCACAAGGAGGCTCTTCTCAAGTAAGAGCTTCACAAGGTGGATCATCACAAGGACGATTTGGGTTCTCTTTTTGGTCCATATAGCTTCTTTTTAAGCCTCGGTTTATGTGTTTGTGTAAGACTTCATCATGCTTGTTCTGTTATTTTAACATTGTTCTGTAAGACCATTTTATCTCATCGTTTCATTCCAATATAGAACCAAAAAGACAACAAAACTGAACCAAAGGAGATGACAACAATATTGTTACAGTCTCTTGGCTTTGCGTACTTCACTTTTACAGATCTTGAAGTTTCTGGGCAAAGGTTCTTGTTCTTTGTGTTCTTCATAGCTTCGTGATGTCGGGAATCGCTCTCAATTGACTTCAATTTCTGGGTTGTCGTTTTTAAAATCGCCTAAGAACCCTAGGTTTCAATTTGGGGGAAGAAGAAGAATAATTTGGGATTTTTTGGTCTGATGAAGTTTTTAATCGAGCTTTTAACGTCACTGTTAAATAATTAACGTTGACTTTTTATTTGTCCAAAAGTGCCCAGTCAACTACACATTGAGAAATTAATTTGTTCACAGCAAAGTTCGGGAATAAAAGTGTCAATTTCAAATAGTAGGGGAATTAAATGACCATTTTCCCGCCAAAAAAGTATATTAAGGAGTTTATTTTTTACATACATGCTAGATAAAATTCATCAAACATCATTAATAAAATTATATCAGAGGTCTGTAAAAAAAATAAAAAATAATAATCATATAATAGGGAATGGTATAAAACTAGTGCTAATTGGGTAGATTTATGTCCAAAACTTTTTTTTTTCTCTCTCTTCTTGTGATCAGAAGAGCAAACCTTACAATTGCAGGTTTATAGCGTCAAATGGGATCTAATGGTACACTTTTTCCACTAATACAAATTACAAACTCCATTACATAATTTATTTTTTATGAAGTAAATAATATTTTATCATTTAATTCTAAACTCGAAAAGCTTAACAATTCTTTTTTTTTATTTTAGATACATAAACATATTTTTGTATACTTCGAGATGAAATAGTCACACCTCAAGAGGTTAGTGGTTGGATTTTTTTTAAAAAAACTTTAAACATGAAAATTGCAAAAACCATCTCACCATAACAAGGAAATAATTTGTTCTCGGAAATCCGTCGGAAATTTCGGAGGGATTTTTTTTTTGTCGGAATTCGTCTTGCTTTCTTGTAGTGAATTTAGGTAATACAATATCGCTTTTTTCCATAGTGTACGTCATTGATTATTCGAACGAAATGAAAGAAAGTTGGCCGTTTATATTCGTGCCATGGCCAGATCCGAATTGCTAATTACAAATGTAACCTCAAACCTATGTGTAAAGCCCAACCAAGGCACAAAGTTTATCTTCGACCCCAATATAAAAACCCAAGGTTAAGGTGAGCACTTATAATCGAACCGAATCAAACCAACCAAATTGAACTGAATTCCAAATATAATTGAATTAATAAAATTTCGGTTCGAGTTTAGCCATAGCTTTAATCGGAATTCAAACCGAACCAAACCAAAAACAAATTTAATGTTGAAGGAGAACTAGTGAAGGTGTATTACTGAATCAGCGACAAATGGATCCAGAAACAGTTGACTTTTTTTTTTTTTTTTGAACTAGTGACTTTTTTTTTTTTTGGACAGTTGACTAAATAAATACATTTTGAGGTAGGTTTCAGACAAATAAAAAAATAAATTTAAGTGAGATATTTAAAGTAGAATAGTTCAATTTTGCATTTAGAATCTCAACCAAATTAAATTATTAGTCGTATAATGGCACACAAGTTGACTAGTATAAGTGTCGAATCCTTGACCGAATAGTTTATGGTTAATTTAATTGTTAATTCCACAGCCCCTACAATCAACTCAATCGTTTTATAGAGAAACAAAAAAAAAAGAAGGTAAATTCAGAAAGTAATAAAAGATATGTTGGATTTTCTTAGTCCAGTTCAATTCGTGCTAGGTTGTTTTTGCCCCTTGTTGCTTGGTGTTGTTGTTGCCTTGTTGCTAAGTTACTAGGTTGTTGTTGCTTTGTTTAATTTCCGTTCTTCTTCATGTAAAGATTCTATTTTGATGAAGCAGAAGTTTTTAGAAATAGAATTAAAGATCCGTTGATTCTAAGGCCATCTACATTGCAGGACCTGATCTAAGCCTTTTTTTAATCCAAAATAATGGGCTTATGGGCTTAAGATCAGCCTGCCCGCTCTCATCCTGGATCAGTTCTTCTTTGTGTTGCGGGGTGACGTGGCGAGATGGCATTGGTTGGGAGAAAAGGGATAGGAGACACAATTTTCATTTCACCCAAAATCGAAAACGACCTAGGGTTTTTTGGCTGAAGCATTCGTGATAGACAAGCACATCACCAATTAAAAGAGGATTTGATTCAACATATTTGGAATAAATTTGGATAATAAACTATGTATTAATTAGATAAAATGTTTTTGTGCTTTTATTAAGTAATATGTTTGTTTGTTTATTGTTATGTATATTTTTAATGTTTTTTTTCATAAATATTTAGTATTGTATTTTCACTTTTATTTTCAGTTTTTAAAGTTTGCAATTTATATGCTATTTTTAAATGTTTTAATAATTGTAATATGTTTTAAAATTTGTAGATTATTATATTATTAAATCTTAAGATCTTACACATGTTCTCCCACTAATCAACTTCTAAACAAAAGATCTAAACACATGATCTTACATTATTTTAACATTATATTTTCTCTAAGAACACCCTCACATGATCCCCCATTGATGATGCCCTAAGAGTATCCGAAAAACTCTAATGATTATATTTTCTTGTTTTAAGTTTACACTAGTGTAAGATAATCAAAAGCCTCGTAATTAAAATCCATATATTTTTATCCGATACATATGAGGCACATATCTCATATATATTAGTTAGTTAAATTTTTAAGTTTTACACACACACTAAAAAATATATTCATAATTAATTATATATGTATTATTTTTAAGATTAATAATTTTCTCTTACTCTAAACTAATAATAATTAATTATTCTTAAAATTTTACATTTTTTCATCATCAATAATTGTAATAAAAAGATGCATAAAATTTGAAAAAATTATTTTTTTGAAATATGTTTTTTTTCTAAAACTTGGATTAATTAGGAAGAAAGAGAGTAGTATTGTTTTGGTGTCACTTTCTCGGACGTAGTAGTTAAATTCTTTTAACTGTATAGTGGAATATACATTGAAGAAACATTCATGTTCAAACTTTCACAACAAGCATAATAACATATCATACAACACAAACAAAGGCCTAAACCTCGTTTTATTACATAAAACATAGATGACAAATGAATTACATTAAGAAACAAATCTTAGCGTTTCATACCACCTTGGAAAGCTGGAACACCCATCGCCACACCTCCTTGGTTCTGTTGCCTCTCTACATTCCCCGCCCATCCTAAAATACCACATTAATTTTTAACAAATGTTAATTTGTATTGCGATTACACTAAACAAATTAATCATAAACAAAGTATAAAAAAAAATCTGTATAAAAGAAAGAAATAAATTACCAAGACTCATATCGAAACCGCGGTGCTTGAGTTCACGGTATTCTTGGGTCAAAGCACAAAGCTCACAGCAGAAATGTTTAAGGCAATCAGTACAACCATCACCTCTAATATTGTATTGAGCTCTCATCTTTCCACGATAGAAACACGAGTAGATACTTCCACAACCAGTTATTACGGCTATCAACGTGTATAGTGCTCCAGCAGCACCACATGCTGAAATATTTTAAATAAGCAATTATTTATGATCATTATATTCTCTCTTGTTACCGCCAAATTTGACAAAAGCTTCTCTCTTTTTTTTTTATTAATGATATCGTGTATTATAAGTAACTTACAGGTGGTTCCTCGGTCTACAATATCAGCGACTTGGCCAAATGTGATACATGGACACAAACATGTGATACAACCTGTCCATTCATTTTTACAAAATAAATAATAAGTTTAGCACAAAATTACTTGTTTTCAGCTTTTTACACGTACAAATATATATGTAAGGAATTGAGAAAAGAATGATTACAGTTTTTGCAGTCAGAGAAGCAATCACAGAAGCCTGTGGACCATTCTCCTTCAGCATGAGGCTTGGCATGAAGGTGTTGAGCTTCCATGGAGAGAAAGAGAGAGATAGAGATCCTAAAATATATAGATAGCAATGTGTTTAAGATTTTGTAAGATAAACGAAGAATTATGCTTGTATTTATAGAGATATTAGTTGCATTATTTGTGAACTCGTCCAAACCTTCTAAAATCATAAAATAAGTCACATGTTTTTGTTTTATCTTGAAAGTAGCCACTGCGATTTACTTAATATTTGCTTGAGTTTTACCAATTCTTTCTAGTGGATAATGTTTGATGTATTGAAATATGAAAAATTACACACATATATAACTGTTTTCCATCATTTGTTTTACGAAAAAGGACTTTATAATTTGATTGAGCGCACACATTGACTTAAAAACTCTAAAATGATAATAATTACTATGAGCTCGCATAATGATCAATATTTGGATATTTTATAAAAACAATAAACACTAATAGAAAAGCTTCATTTTTTTAGATTTATGACTCTGAATTTTTGTAATCCACTCATTGTTTTGCATTCGAAAAGTCTTTCATCGTCTGAGCAGTCAATACCATTACTTACACAATACATACACATATATATATATATATATATATATATATATATATATATACAAATCTTTTACTGATAAAATAAAACTAATAGTTTTTTTTCTTTCTAAAAAGAAATAATGTCCCTTTTTCTGAATGTTTATTAATCTCTCCATGAAATATCTATATGCATGCATGATAAGCTTTACTAAATAAAATGAGAGACTCACAAAATGCCCCTTTTCTCATGACCTTTTTCAAAAATACCCCCTATAGCTGTCCATTTTTAAATAATATCCCTTTTTATGTACAAAATGACCAAATTACCCTTTTTTTAATAAAAAATATCACAAATATAGAAGGAAAACACAAGAATGTGCACACATCAAAATTTCAAATTTGATTTTGTAAAAACTTGTAAAACCTTTAAAATACCTTGTAAAATTTTCCCGCAAAAAATTTTTTTTTGCGGAAAAAGTGATTCCGCAATTTTTTTGGCGAACAATTTTTGGCGGGAAAAATTTACAAGGTATTTTAAAATTTTTTACAGGGTATTTATAAGGTTTTACAATGTATTTTAAAAGGTTTTACAAGGTATTTATAAGGTATTTATAAGATTTTACAAGCTATTTTATAAGGTTTTACAAGTTTTTTATAAGGTTTTACAAGTTATAAATACCTTATAAAACCTTATAAGTACCTTGTAAAACTTTTTAAAATACATTGTAAAACCTTACAAAACACTTGTAAAAACTTTGTAAAACCTTTAAAATACCTTGTAAATTTTTCCCGCCAAATATTTTTTGCCAAAAAAATTGCGGAATCACTTTTCCCGCAAAAAAAAAATTTTGGCGGGAAAATTGCGGGATCACTTTTCCCGCCAAAAATTTGCGGGATCACTTTTCCCGCCAATTTTATTTTTAATTTTGTGGACCTAATTTTGTTTCAAATAAGGGTAAAATGGTCATTAAAAATTAAAAGAGGGCAAACTTAAAATCCATACGTTTAAGAAAATACATGAGGTTTTTTTTTCTTAATAATGTTATTGATATATTTAGTTTAACATCAGTTTTTATTGATGTAAATTTTGTATCATTTAAGAAGTGATCTTAACAAAAATTAATAAACACATCAATTATCTAAATGTAATTAATATTTAATATCACTTTATAAAAAAGTGATACGAAATAATAGATTTTAAATCAATTTTATTTAATTGATGCCAAACTAATTAATTATAACATCACTTAGTATAATTGATGTTAAGACATATATATTTACATCATTTATAAATAAATGATTCAAAATAATATCATTTAGTGAAGTGATACAATTTAAGTGATTTAATAAGATGTTTTTTTTGTAGGGAATGTTTGCGTACAAAAACTCAGTCCAAATCGATGTAAAATATATCTCAGTCCAAAAATTAAAGTTTATAAATCTCCCTTTCTTTTTTCTTTTTTCTTAAGTTATGTAGTGGAAGATCTAGTGAATGTTTGCGTACAAAAACTCAGTCCAAATCGATGTAAAATATAACTATTACAATTTGCGAAAAATTGGTATAAATATTATAACTTATGGCTTATAACCAAGAAAACAATTTAAATATAACAAGAAAATTAGAGTAGATTCAATAAAGCCATCAATATATATATAGAAGTTGATAATTCAGAGTAGATTAAAATAAAGCCATCGGTATCCATAAAATAATTGAGAGTAGATAAAATTAATAATAATTTAGCGTAGACATCTTCTATATGTTCCGTCGTCAAAATAAACATAAATATTTCCAATCCACTCTAAAATTTTGCCAACAAAAAAATCTACTCTAAATTAGAAGTCGTTAATTTTTAAAACAAATTAGCGAGTCATCCGTATCATTTTTATTTTAATTACAATGACGACCAAACGGCCAAATGCTATAGAAGATGTCTCTAATGGCACGCAAGTGACTATTTCCAGGTCCCCACTAATCATTTTGCAAATTAGTGTTCTAATTTTTCTGTATATTACTAAAAAAAAAACATGTATATATACATATCCCCTTATTATTAAAAGGGAAGTACAAATTGAAAAATGGTCAAATTTAGCCTCAATTTCAATTTCAATTTTGGATTTTGTTCTTTGTTAATCAAAATCGACAAGGGCAATTTGGTCATAAAGTTTCATTAAACTTTCTGAGATCCGCGTGTTAATACTCGGGTGGGTTAGGAGTAATTAACTCTTAATCACATAGTCAAGTTCTTAATCGGGTTTAGCATCCACATAAGTCAATCTAAGCCGTTCAAATTATTTTGTAAATTTAGTTCATTTTTGGTATCTAAATATGAGCATATTCGATCATAATAACTGCAAATTCGATGTAATTATCTCTCATAATAACTGCAAATTCGATCATATATTGCCTAATCCCAAAAAAATCGTAATTACTATCTCTCATAAATATAATCCTAACCATAACCAACTCTACAATATTCATCATTTATCTAAATATAGCCAATCATTCAATTCTATTCCAAATTCGAATATATTTTGTTAATAGTATCTTTGATTTTATGCTTTGTCTCCAAGATATTCTCCTAGATTTTAAAATTATTGGAGCCAAAAACCCTAGCATCCTAGAATGCTATAAATATCAACGTCATTCTCATTTCCAATCCATCACTCAAATTCCTCTAAGCTTAGCATCCTTCTTATTTAGATATCACAAATGGCTCAAGCAATTGCTTACCTCGATGACATCAAACCATACAAAACCACTTGGAGAGTTCAGGTCCGTGTCCTTCATACCTGGAAGACATTTACCACAAAGTTTGGTGAGACTTTCGACATGGTTCTGTCTGATGTCAAAGTAAGAATTCTTTGTCATGTCTATATTAGTTCAATATATTAAAATAAGTTGTCTAATGATATACTAATATATTTCTATTTCTATGGTAGGGCAAGAAGATCCATGCGTCTGTGAAGAGAGAGCATCTCAACCGTTTTGAGAAGCTCATGGTTCCAGGAGAGTGGAAGGCTATTGAAAACTTTGGATTGACTTATGCAACTGGTCAGTTCAAAGCAACTGATCATCGTTACAAAATGGGCTTCATGGCTCAAACAAGAGTTGTGAGGATGGACCCATTGTCTGATTCTTATTACCTGTCATTGACTCCTTTCAATGATGTTTTAACTGGTGGTCTCAACCAGAACTACTTGATTGGTACATTTTCATATTCCCTATATTTTCATTTTTATCTAATCCTTTATGCAATATATATTGACGTTTTGTTATTCTCTTTTGGTTCAAGATGTTGTCGGTCAAATCGTGAATGTTGGTGAAATGGAGACTATCGACGTGCAAAATAAACCTACTAAGAAGATTGATTTTGAACTGAGGGATCATACGTAAGTTTCATTCATTAGTTCTGTCTGCATTAAAATTAAAGAGTCTTATTTTTTTTTCTAATATTACTATTAAAATATTTAGGGATGAAAGGCTACCCTGTACTCTATGGGGTTCATTTGCAGAACAAGTTTTCACTGCCTGTGAAGCTTCTGCTGGTGAGATGGTCATATGTTTGGTGAGATATGCTAAGATCAAGACTTACAAAGGTATTTTGTTTTGGTATTAATATCATACTTATAGTTTTTTAAATCTTTTAAAAATTGAACTGATGACACTTTCTTTATGTTTTGCTTTCTAGATGTAAGGAGTATCTCCAATGCTTTCAATACATCTCAGATCTTGATCAATCCAGACATCCCTGAGATTGTTGCCTTCAAAGAAAGTTTACCAAAAGATGGGCTTGCTCTTACTCTTCTTGAGTCTAAACCAAAGCAGGAAATGATCGAGCTGCCTACAGGGGATTTCTATCTTCAGTTTCCTAAGAAGACCATCAAAGAAGTCGCTGAGATGTTTGATGTAATAGTTCTTTTTTTCTTTTACATTCTAATTTGATTGCATAGTTTATTCTAACCAACTTTTAAATGTTCCTATTTTCAGACTGGGAGGGTTAAGGTGCTCTGTACAATATATGATATTGACAGAGATTGGTCGTGGTATTATATTGCCTGTAGGAAGTGCAATAAGAAAGTTTCTAAGGTTGTCACAACTTCTCTCAAGCCACAATTCTGGTGTGACTCTTGCCGATCACCTGTGTGCAATGTGGTTGCAAGGTATGGTTCATAATCTAATGATATATTAATGATTTGTTTGTTACTGAAATGTCTAATTGTAACGATGAACTCAACAGGTACAAGCTACATGTTAAAGTAATGGATTCAACTGGTGAGATGAAGCTGATGCTTTTTGATAGTATGGCTTCTGAGATTGTTGGCTGTCCAGCAAACAGTCTCCTTGATGGATCTTTCGATGAGTTTGAGGACCCAGAGAACCTACCTGATTGGATCAGACATTTGACTGGTAAGACATACCAGTATCTGGTCTGTGTTGAGAATGAAAATGTGTGGAATGGACTGGATACTTATAAGGTATCCAGAGTTCTTGCTAATGATTGTGTTGGAGAGGAAGATCTACCAGATGATTCAATTGATCAGGTATGGAATATTCTAAA